GGTTAATAATGACGGCATCAAACTACACTCAGCCCTCGGTGTCAGGTACACCAGAGGGTGGCCATTCTCTGTATAATTATGGTGATGACTAGGTACCCACAGATAAAGGATACACACCTGTAGCTAACAGGATTTTTCTACAATGTATATGAGGACTAGACCTTGGGCACTTTTTAGTATTGCCCGCACCATTCTGCACCCAGCTACCTACATCAAGCACAGGCAAGGTTCTTATTTTAAAACTTTGCAAACACAGCCTTGGACTCTGCCTCCCCATCATAATATTTGAGGCAACACATCTGAGGATACGAAAACTGATATAGACCCAACTTTATTGTGTGAGTAAATAGCATTGACAGAGGAGAAAAACTCTATAATGGCAAAGGCTGCCAGTGCTGAAAATAATATCATGGGGCAATGTCATGTCATGCCTAATATTGTGAGTTAATTGTGCAGTTCAGCTCTGAACAAAATATTGTGGTCTCAGCTCTCTTGTTTGATAAGCCGTCCCTTTGTTCTAAAACTATTGTAATGCCACGATTGGAATGTTCCTAAAAAAATAATTGCGTGCTGCTGGTAGCTATGTTCAGCATGCAGGCAGCATTGTTTTTTCAATAATTTTCAACTTATTATTAGACTAGACAGCATACATCCCAAAACTCTGCATACGTACTTCAGTATAATTATACACACATGCAAACTGAAGCAGCAATGGGCTATTATCCCCCTCAGTTGGACAGTAACAAGCCCCATTAAGTAAATGAAAAGCACTAAAGTGCAAACCCTTGGCGCACTAGAAATGTCAAACCTATACACATGTGCTGTACTGCTAAATGATAGGCTTGGCTATGCATTGTAAATTAACTCTCTTGCAATGCTAGTCTAGTACATAACCTTTGGTGTGTATGTGCGCCGAGGGTTTAATGTAAGCACTTGAAAGTGGATAATCTTCATCAGTATAATATAGTCAACATTACACACAAACTCAACATGAGGAGTGGTAGTTTTGCGGTGCTAGTTTTTCTGCCATTATTACAGAAGTATAGGGCAATATAATGGTAATTGGAAATCCAAAAGAGTTGTTGAGAGGCTTCTTACAATACTAGCCACACATTAAAAAGAGAAAACTATGTTTTGCACCATTCCATTGTCCATGGGTTAGGCAAAAACATAAAATCTAAGGTTGAAAAAATAGTAATGGGGAATCTGAAAGAATTACGCTTCTTACATATGCATGTGGTAGATTCGTGGATAAGGGGAGGAACGAGAGCGTTTCCCAGCCAATGCTCTGGACCACCTGTCAGTTTCAGTGCGGGTCCGGGATTCGAACCGGGCACCTTATGTGACAGACCCCACGTCCCTAAACACTGAGCCACTTAGGCTGGCCTCGAGAAAAAATTCCCACACCCCAGGATTCGAACAGTTGACCTTACGATCTAGTCCATGCGTCTTTATCCAGGCCACACTTATCGATATGGTGGTGAGTCCTCTACACTTTCTCTCACAGAAAAACAAGCATTGCCTACTGCCGGGACCGTATGTACACTGACTCCATCAGTACAATGATCAAAATACAGGGAAAATGCAGAAAACCCAGGAGCTTGAGGTCCATGAAGAATTTCTTGGCTTATACCACGTTGCCTCTATCGATCAACACCGATCTGGCATTTTTGCCAAGTATTAACTATTACTACTTTGCTGTGAACATTTATCTTCATCCAGTGGCCCGGCCAACCCCCTTTTATACCCGCCCTGCGACTGCGCGACCTCCACTGCGGAAACTACAACGCCCCGCATTTGAGAACGTCATGAGGGGCGTTGTTTAGGGGGCGTGGCATAAGCCACGCCCATTGGCCTGACCACTTCAAAAGTGCTTCCTACGGCCTTGTAGTAGCTAGCTACATTCCAACCTTTTTTTATTCTTTCCCTTGACATTAGCAAATCCCCAAACCCTGGGTATTAGTACATCCCAAACCTACAAACCTTCTTTCCGTGGACATCAGTTATAATAATCCCAAAGGAACAGTTTGTAATACAAACTGACCACACACCTCCTTGCACGTGCACGCAGAGTTTGTGCAGTGATAATTATGTAACTGTGCACTCAAAAACATATGGAGCAATAATTGGATGTAACCCTCACTGGCGTGGTTCAAGCTTTTTCAGTTAAGTGCCACAAAGTAAGGCCTGATATATCAGTACCAGCTATAGATTACAACACACTTGGACAGTATTGAACGATTGCATCATGATGACAACTAGCATAGCCTTCTGCATGGAGGCAATAATAATATCCGATCTGCAGTGTTGTTCCATTCTTCAGTTGACGGATGGTGGCAGGAGTATGATATACACATTAATTTTATACTTAGTGCAATCTGCTCGTAGCTCATGTTTACAGCTGTCCTGTATCATCAGTTTACGTGACACACACTTTCTCTTTAGACTACTACGTTCACAGTACTGCGCCACATCACATGACAGTCGCTACATATCACAGAAAAACAGGCATTGCCTACTGCCGGACCGTGTGTACACTGACTCCATCAGTACAATGATAAAAATACAGGTAAAGTGCAGAAAATGAACATGCTGGGGTCCTCAGCAGAGACAGGGGGGGTTCCAAGAACATGCACTTACCCTTTATCCGTGCGGTGTATATCCATTCTCAGACTACCGGCCAACCTTGGAATTTGTACACACCTACCAAAACTTGCTGCTAGCTGGTAGGTTATATAAGTCCAAAGGATCAGCAGACATTGCCTGGGTAAGTACAAGACGTTGTGAGTGCAGAAATTGACATTCACCCACCTATCACCTGCATCTGGAGCATGTACCCTTTGCTGAGATGCTGTTTGCCATTCAGGCCTTCCCCACTCGATGCTGGGTGGGATTCGAACCCACGATACTCTGCAGTCTAGGCGAGCGCTCTACCAACTGAGCTACCAGGGCAACTCAGCAGGTAGGGGTTCGAATCTACAACACAACACAAGGCAAAAAAACCACAAAAAAACGGGCTAGCTACACTACTAAATAACATGCGAAAGTCGATAGACGCCCCACACCGCATTGCAACTTCTGGTGCCTCCAACTTACCCAGAGCAAGCGTATATCTGGTCGAGAAGTAAGCTCGTGCTATATTATAAATTTGCATAATAATTATTGGCTCGTTCATTTTGTTTTCACGCTGTAACTCTCAAAACTAGCAACAGTCTACGGGGCCCATATCTACCTATACATGTCCCCCAAGAGCTCATACGCACCTTCAGTCGTCCAGGCGAGAATTCGCTCATACGCGTTTTCACGATTTTTGTGTCATCATATTCTTCTTCTTCTTCTTCTTTAAACCCGCTATCTCCTTACCAGTACCAGTTCAAGCACTGATTTTTTCACCGAAGGTCTTCAATTTCGCCGGAGGTGTGCACGGACATCAAGCGATCGTTTCTTTCTTGCTGCTAGTCACTAGGGTAGATCATGGAGCTCTTCCATGGTCGACCTGAATAACGCCATTTGCTGCTTACTCAGCATCAGTGAGTCGCGCGCATGCGCAAGGCATGGGCGTTGTCCAATGCGCTAGCGAGCGTATTACCAGGCGAGCGAGTTTGCAGACCTGCAGAGGAACTCTCAGCCTCCAGTACCTTCTGTAAGTAAGTGTGCACATTTCCAACTGGCTGTTGATTTGCACGAAGAGCAACTTGCCAGAGTCTGCGCGGTGTTACGCGAGCCTTGCGGGGCGCTCAGTCAAATGTGCCTTCATTGTTTGCCTGATTACCAAAGCCTGCCAATGAAACCACAACCATGCAATAATCTAAGTTCATCCATGTTGAAGACAATACATGAGGTGAATACGGTATCTAGCCCCTGCTTCAGGCACTAGCAGCCCCATTAGCTACTACTTTCAACAGTTACAATTTGTCTATGGTAGCCTATCTACAACATAGCTACATCAGAGTGACTGTAACAATATATATGCAGTGTTGTCATAAGCTGTTAAAAATAGTGGAAACAAGTGGAAAAATCATTTCTTCAAAATGAAAGGGGGATATAGGGATGGCTTGAAGCACCAAAAAGGAAGAAACAAGGGGTCATTACACAGCAAAGTTGCACAAAGCTACATGACACCATCCCTATATCTTTGTTGTTATACGGCTCTGCAATAGAGGTTTTCTTGCATGGAAACTTTGCTTATAAACAATAAAACAAAGATAATTATAGGGATGGTGTCATGTAGCTTTGTGCAACTTTGCTGTGTAATGACCCCTTGTTTCTTCCTTTTTGGTGCTTCAAGCCATCCCTATATCCCCCTTTCGTTTTGAAGAAATGATTTTTCCACTTGTATATATATATATGTGTGTGTCTTGTCTGAGCTTGTCACCACAAGGCAGTAAGGATGTAGGTAAGCTACCTGTGCATGTATTCTACCTTTTTACTGTCACAACCTAAATAGGACTTAGAACAACAGACAAACTGAACTATAGCATGACAAACTAAATGCTTATAGCAAGACAGGACTGCGTACATACCGGATTCCATTGTGAGGGAGTGGTCCCACCTTAATAGTAGTACAAAGGAAGATAGAGTTACAAAAGCGCGGGTCTTACAGACTCTCAGTCTGGGAGCTGAAGGCATCAGGGGTATGCATGTGCTGTTTGTGTCATTTAAGTGAAAGTATACTCTTGAGTGACAGTGGAATTTTCTAGCAAGCATCCTGGTAGAGTTTGGGAGTTTTACCCCTGTATAAAACTCGGGCCGTCTGGTCTACAGTGCATACTCTAACTGTCTGTTTTGCGTCGTCGATGTATATGCATGTTTTTTTACTACAGCTGATGATCCCTCTCATGTAGTCCCAGTATAATACCTTCGTAGCTAGCTACCATCAATAAACAGTTTTAGAAAGATTTTTGGCCTGGTGTATATTAAACTTTGATATTGCTGCTTGTACTTTCTTTTTCATGGGGCACCAATAAACACTTTCACTATTTTTTTTCCGTGAAGGATGTTTACTTCATAGGCTGTGTATAATGTGACTGCTATATTATATGAACAAGCCCCTTTCACCAGTTCATCATGTTGGTAATATATAGAACTCATGGGGAACTTTGATACTGCACTATCAAGGGAAGTAAGCACTGGAGATAGAGAAGCAGCGTAATGAAGATACAACAATAAAAGTAGCATACTTGCAAAGCATATTACTGTTTGCAGACTTTTAGGTTTATCCACTTATAATGTGAGCCTAAGTGGTGTGTTCCAATGTTGCTATTGGTTTGTGGGTCGAAACATAAGCAGGATTTTCTTCAAGCCTTAGTCTCCTTGGGTTTCCATAGGCTGGATTGTGATGTACAACTGGATTTTCACTTGAAGAAATATTAACCTCCTCATACACTATGGAGTGATTGTGATCACAGAAACTCGCATACAATATAGCTATTACTTACCATGACAATTCTTGTGCCTCATATCTAAAATGAAACAATTAATTATCACCATGAAACACTTATTTGTAATATTGTTTACCCTTTTTTCTATGTTGACCTGGAAAGGAATACCACAACAATGGTGAGAATTGTATTATTTAGCTTGTCTTACAATAGACCAAAATGGAAATAGCAGAAAACGTCAAGATGGTTATAACCAGTAATAGCGCTAAAGCTATCGAAACAGCAACTAAAAGGACAAAAATAGTGTATGATCTTCAATCTGATTTCAATCCAAAGAATTAGCTATTACCGATAATATTTTGATGAGATGAATATCCTGGAGAAATTGCAACAGAGACACTGGGAATATGAGTTTGTGCAACAGGAGCTGACTGCAGTGGTATCACTCTAGTTTGCCAACTTGCTGTGTGTGGCTTGATGCAAGCATAAGTGTTGTTGGGGACTGTATCAGTGCTTACTTGTACAGATCCTGAAATAATGGGACCATTGTTCATGATGTTATCATGTAATGCACCCACACATATATTACACACACACACACAGCAGTCTATCCTAAACATCAACCTGCTCGTTTTTTAGGAACTAACCGCAGCTTTCTGGAACACTGTCTAATAGCACAACTGTAGTGGTGTTGCTGCAGATATTTGCAACTGATCCACTTAAGGAAATTCGGAAAATGCAACGAATTATCACTCTTGTTTCAAAATTGAATATAAGATTAAGCCCATTGGCAGTAAAGCCATATGGAAGACGAACTATTTCGTGCTTGTAACCATTAATCTCCCATTGAGATGGATAAGTGAGTGGAAGATTTGTGGAGCACATAAGATTAACAACTTCCCCTTCAGATGCAGTTTTAATGCCCTCAGGCTGGAGTGAAGCATAGTATTCGCTTGTTTCCACGCATTCAGAGCCTAAATGACAGACAAACATTCAATAAGTGCTCATCTTTTGTTTTTTATCTTCCTTACATGCTTTCGGCACTCCTATCACCACAAACGCACAAAGTAAAGCAACTGTGGCGGACATAGTCTCAACTGTCGAGCCTCCCTCCCTTGCGGCTATGTACCTCTATTTCGTCACCTTTAGCTACGGCGCGCATGCGCAACCTTGTCCGGGTTATATCGGACTCACGCGCGCGCGAGCGCCGAGGTTTTCATGCGTGTGTGTGCCTGGACGGAGGGTGGTTGGTATTCTATCATGGCTAGTATACTTTCATGTAAATGAAAAGCACTGAAGGTGCACACCCTCGGCGAACGCGGTACCGCTAATTGATGGGCTGTTTACTCGTGGTCTCCACGCTAGTAGCTCGCGGAGAGTCTGTCACGGGCAGCTTACATATTATTATACTATTATTATTATTATTATTGTGACTTTACAGCACACAAAGACACGAGATGTGAGAGGTAAGATGATGGCAAGAGGATGGTAGTGCTAAGGGTCTGCTGGAGGTATACACCAGCAGCCTATGGTACTAGATAGCATGCGGGAGTCGTCCTGGGTTGCATCTTCTGGTGCCTACAAGGTGCGCAGAGCAAGCGGATCGATATCTGGTCGAGGTTAGCCGGTCGTTGTCTCGTTACGCGTGGTGGCATAAAACGCGGTAACAGATCTAGACGGACGACAGACACACACACTTACAAACTAACCATCGCTGCGCGCGTGGGGGGCGGGCGGGGCGGCGGGGCAACTAAGATTACGGACTATGCAGTGATAACCGGAAGTATACGACAGTGTTGGACGTCCACGCCGAAGTATATACAAGGGCGGTCATCCGTAAACAGCCCGCGTTCTCTTTAGACGGATGCAGGCGGGCTGTTTGCTAGTGAACGACGGTACGTTGTGTACTGCCCGTCCTCAAGGTGGTCCGGAGACGGTGTAGACGGGGCAGGCAACTAGTGTTAAACGGGTTCCGTGCGGGCAACTATATTCCGAGAGCACGGTGTAGTGTTTATACAGTACAGTATTTGACCATGTCGAGTGTTTTTGCTGTGGCTGTGCATGCGCGCCGAGGGTTAACAACACCGCGTATGGGTCTCCGTCTATAGCTAGCTACAGTAACTAGTAGGGGCATTTTGGCTAGTGGGAGCGAGCACACAATGAGTGAATCTGCACAAGTTGTCCTATATAGCCTATTTCAACGTGGAACCACGACCTAGGTTAATTAGCTCGTTCCACTCGCTATATAAAAAATAAATCCTGGTGATTTTTTCGACTCTCGTACATATTGTTGTGGTTTTTTTTTGTTCTTGGTAGATTTTTTGGGCAATATTGGCTAAACGCCAGCCAGCCAAATGACATCTCAATCTTTAACCACTTAAGGATGTCTTAATAAGTGCTCAGTCATAAAGTATCAAGTGTAGATCGCATGACAAAAACAACTCGAGTGACTAAGTTTTCAAAGCACTATAGGCACAGCATTCCACAAATGAACAAGTTTTTAAAGTTAAGAATGTTCCTCAGCTTCATGTTGCTCTTGTTTAAGTTGTACCTGCACCTCCTTTAGGGGCACTTCTTGATCTTTAAACTCAAATATGGACAAAGTCCATCTATATAATTACAAGGTTGTGAAAGACATCACAAAAAATTAAATGGTGTACATATATACCTTTTAAATTTAATCCAGGCTAGGCTGATTCCAATAATACATGTGCAAAAAATTAGTGCTAGCAGCACTCCTGCTCCTATAGCAATCGTGACAATCAATTGAGATTGAGGTTCTGGAACAATGGACTCTGTAAGCAATGGACAATACCACATGTATTATTATATATTCTGAAGTCTGGGAGAAATTATGGCAAGTGATATGTTTATTTTAGGGATATACTCATTAAGATAAGCACTCATGAACTTATGGTAAGTGATAAAGCATCTACCAATGCTCTACTCACAATAATTGTGTATTACATTCTGCGGTATGTTTCCCTTATTTGAATTTTTTAGAATTGATATATACCTTTAGTACAAGTTCGTCCATCGGCATTCAATTCATATCCAGTGCTACAGTTACAATGGTAGGACCCGACAGTATTCTCACAGTTTTGTGTACAGCCATGTCCTGGATCTGAACACTCATCGATATCTACATAATAAAACGTGAGATGTTGACATTGCAAATTTATGAAATCCCGGTGTTTGTCAACTTATAACAAGCTGTGAATATTGCCAGTTTTGGCTCCCTGTGCATAGCTTCAACTCATGCACCCACAGGAAAGAAAGGCTCTACTAGTAAGAGTATATACTACTGCTAGCTGACTGCACGTTCCAATGGTGTGCCTTGTGCCTCAAATCTCCCTCATCGTAGGGGCTTTGTTGCTTATATTTGAGAAGCTGGTATAATATTTTACCTAAGCATGTATACCCATCAGTATTCAAATCATATCCATCATCACAGCTGCAGTTGAATGAGAGGAAAGTGTTCATGCAGACCTGTTCACAATCTCCATTGTTAGCTTCACACTCATTGGCTGTGGGATAAATGAACATTAAAGAGCTACAAGATTGACATTAGCTACTTAACAAAATGCAATGTGCCTTTAACACCATAATCTCTATTATCCTTGATCCTTACCAGATCTTGCAATTTGATACACAACATTCACCCACAGAGTGTTAGGTTCATTCAAACAGGCTATAAAGTAAGAGTGTTTCCTATAGGTTGCTCCGTGTGTGATATTCAAACCATCTTTATTAGTAAACCCAAAACCAATTTCGCCAGGATCTGAGACTTCCAAATCACCACACTTGTAGGTGAAGATGGCATAAGAGGATGTCGTGAAATCTGTCACAAGGATTCCCTGAAAGGTGTTGCCCTGTGCATTGGAACATGTTCTCGTGCAGTAGGTTCAAAGAAGGTACATTACTTACTAGATAGATTTCGCCATACGGCTGAACATTTTCCCACAAAGCCACAAGAAGCCAACTGCTATTGAATTTGGTATTCTCATGTTTGTTTATAATTGAGTTGACATGGGTAAAAAGAGGCTGAGATTTATCTCTTTGGTGAACTTCAAATGAGATCGAACCACTTGAAGGGTTGTTCACACTAAGGAATGGGGCCACCAGTCCTGAATATGCATCCAATATTGTTCCATCACTCGTAAGTAGAAATGAACCATTGCTTGATACCTGTAATGCAATTTAATGTGACATGCATGTACAAGAATTATAGCTTACATAGATATGTGATTCGATGGAGGCCCCTAAAGGAAATAATATTTTTATTGGTGGTGATCGTCCTTCAAAATCAACATGATTTGTTTCAACACCAGGTGTCACTCCAAGATCAATGTAGGGAAATGTCTCAGTTACTGAAAAAAAACACATTCAAGTATAACAAAACCAAACCAAAGTTGGCTGTCGAAGCCACCATTTTCCACAGGGCAACCAATTTCAGCTATATCATCGCAGCAGTCTTTAAATTTGTAGCAGAGAGTATCACAGAAGCACGAGGAAGGTTCTAATGGAGATGCAGCACAGTTTCCATTAGTACAACATTCTTTAAATCCAGCTTTGGTGCAACCAACACGACCATCATTAAAGCCTGTTTTGTTTTTGAGTGGCGAGTTACATTCCTTTACTGCCAAACTTTCATTGTAGCAGTAGCCTCTACGATTACTGTAACCAGATGGACACTCATTTATGCACTCCAAAGTGTATGCATTACGGAGGTTGACGCATGTGTCACAGAGGTTGGAGCCCTCTCCAGCACACCCTCTTTTGCAGTCAGAATGACACTGGTCAGGAATGTTTGTCACTGACTCTGGCACTTGAGATACTCCGTAGAAATGAAACTCTACCTCACTAACAACAGCTACACCAGTTATATCACGTGTTGTGATGTTGAGAGTCCACTGTCCAGTTGGATTTTCTCCCCAGAACATGACTGACATGAATGGCCAGTCTACATACCTGTCTGGAGCTTTGTCATTTGGTCGAGGCCTCAGCAGTATTGATAGCGTCCCAGATGGTGACTCAAGAGAAATCTGCAAATCTCCTCTTGTGAGGCTGAAAGTGTTTTCTGGTATGGCCACTGAAATCGTGACAACTACGTGTTCCAGATACTGGATTTTTCCAGTGAAGTTCACTGTCGCTGAGTATGTGGTATTCGAAGATGGCTCCCTATGGGGTACATATTTACATGATATATATGTAGAAAATACGATGTCATGCCAAGAGAAAAGATGGATCTCTGGACAGCTGTTTCTGGCTTGTTGGCCCTCATCAGCAGAGCATACCCCAACTTCTCTCTCCGGCATATGTTACACAACACTTACTGAGACGCTGCAGTGATATGGTGCTCTATCTGAGGAGGTGCATTGATCCAGTGTCTGGCTCTGGTGACCATGGCCTCAGCATCCATCACTCCAAACCCATACTGACGACTCACTGCCAGACCGGCGCCATTCCTGGTCAGAGGACCAGCTGTTTGATGAGGATCAGCAGTGTAGACTATCAGATACTGGACATCTCTCCACGTCAGATTTGGGCTGTAAAAGAATGTGTTGTCTGTAATGTTTTAAACCTTAGAGCCATTGATCGCCCTGTTTTTTATACCCTAGTGATTCATGATTGTTCTGTTGCCTAGGCCTAGGTAGTAGCAAAACGATATTTGTTGTCTACTAGAGTAGAAGAACAGTATAAAAGTGTGTCATGTATATCATTAATGTGGTGCACTTCCTTATAGCTAACTCACGCAACACTGCAGGGAAGGGATAGCTAGCTATCGGTATCTAAACGGCAACAAACTATGGGTTTCTCTCGTGACCACATGGGCTATGTTGGCACAGTTGCAACGTAAAACCCTCGGACTGCAGCCCTCAGGCATTACTGTGCCTACATATCCCATGCTCATGAGGCTTGGTATAGTAGAGCTATACTTGGGTAGTGGGATCCCCAAGGGGGATAAAAAGGTGGTAGTATTGCTTCCTTCCAGGCTGTTCGAGCCTCTTTTGATCCATCAGTATCTGATCTCAAGACAAGGTCGGCTCGCCCCTGCTCACCAATTACATAGAGCATTGATGCTATAATGAACTTACTTGGCCTCTAGGGCAAGGGCTATTGTGCCTGACACCATTGGGGCTGATGCACTTGTCCCACCATAAGTACTTGTACACATGTGGTAGCCATCCCTACGCCGGTCTGTTGTCCTCTGTAACAGTAATGGCTCAAAGTATATACCGCAAAAGAGGACTAAAGTGCAAACCCTCGGCGAACTGCCATACCGCTAATTGATGGGCTGGGCTATCACTATGCGCTTCTCCCGCTTGTAGACTCTGGCACGGGCTAGTGGCTAGCTAGATAGCACGCGGAAGGGCCCGACGCATGCTATGTACTACTGTAGCTAGCCCGTGCCAGACTCTCCGCGAGCTACTAGCGGGATACCACGAGTAAAAGCATAAAAAAACCCAGCTCATCAATTAGTGGTACCGCACATGCGCAGTTCGCCGAGGGTTTGCACTTTAGTGCTTTTCATTCTAGCTGCAATAATTCTGTTAGTACAGTAGTTTTTTTAATATTGATTATCTGATCAGGAGGAGGCCACTTCACTTATTTCCCCTGTCGGATGGGGAGCTTACTTCATAGCTACACCTATATAGGTGTATAGCTGTGGGCTTCCTGCTCGCCAACACGTTCCAATACCAGAAGTATCTAGAGTGGCAACACTTACAATAGCACTGTTTCCCATGTCATCTGTCACATAAGCCACAACCATTTTGGCAGAACATTGCTCATCAAAGGAACTGTAGCCACCATCCACTCCAATAGCCCCAACAGAGATGGTGTATATACTGGAAACATAGCCATCTGCAGCACAATCATCTTCATCTCCTCCATTTCCATTAGCCCATACATATATGGAGCCCTTTCCATTTCGTCCCTGAAAAAAGCAAACTTGCGGCTTCTCAGGTCAGTTTTTAGAATGACATTAAATCCCGAATACATTACAGTTTGTGCAGTGCCAGTCACATAATTATGATCATCTTTCACAGGCAAGGTATTTTATGCTCCATTTTGTGAGTAGCTACTAGCAATACCTGTGGAAAATGTGCACATGCTGTCACACACTGGACCATACCTCCCTTGCTCCAATTTTTAGAGTGATTTTTGTCAGGGTCCTTGGACCCATGACATTAGATCCATCTGGTGGTCCCCAACCGTTGCTATAAATGTCAATTATGTCCCTTGCGTATGAGAGGGAAGTTGCTTCTTCGATGTCAGTTGTGCCATACCTACTGATCAGTTTTATACCTAGTATATAGAGTCACAACTCTTTTTCTACTTATAACTGTATTCATTGTCACTCACTTCCTAGATTACACTGGAAGGCAACTCCAACGCCACAAGTGTCATCTTGTGCAGCTGCAACTATTCCGCTACTTTTGTGCCATGGTGGGTGCGTTCATTTCCATTGTCATCAGATACCAAAGGAGCCTGTTTAGAAGAAGAAGAAGGAAGACAGTGTAAGACCTCTACACAACATACGAAGTTTGGCCATAGGTCAGGATGTTCTATGTCAGTCCCTAAAGATTGTGCAAGAAGAGCATAAACCACAAAAATATCAGGAGTTATGAGTTACCATCATCCACAACAGTGACAGTGACATTGCATCCTGTCACTCCCTGCAGCCACACCTGCTCCACCCTCAAGTCATTTAGATGCTGCCCATAGAGCCCCTTGTTGTTTAACTGCGGAGCATTGCTGCAATTGCCTTCAGTGATATTTTCAGCTAAATCTTTACCAAATGCCACTGCTTCTCAAAGAGAGGGTCTTCTGGCACAATGTACGATTTTGTAATTCTTTGCTCACGGACTTGCTGTTCACTAAAGTCAACCTAAAAAGAACAGATATTCAATATCTCCTCTTTTTTGCAGATACCTTACTAGCGAATCCAATGCGAGACCTGAAATAATAGGGGCGTCAGTTCTGGTACCCCGTCTCTCTCGTGCATTCAACCGAAAGTGGAACACGTCAGAAAATCCTGCAACCTGCACTGGCAAGGTTATTATGCAGTGGCTGGTGATTTAGACTCACCAAACCAAGATTTTGAAATCCATTTCGTTGAGCTACGACGTCTGCCTCCGACGATTTTCCGCGAATTTTCACGGCCCAGCTGTTAACGTAGATGGCGCTCCTCTCCCGGTGGCTGTCATCTGGATATGATCCTACATTGGCTGCTATAGTATAGCTGAAAGGGACAGAGAATGCTAGACTGGCTAAAAGAACGCCGATTAGCATCGCCCTGAAATTGACAACCCAGTTTAGCTGCACAACGAATTTCAGGTCCGCCGTGCGCTTGGAACACGATTATAGCCTGCTCGTGTAGTGTTAAACGTCAGGCGGTCACTGACAAAGTTTGCATTGCATCCACCTACAGCAGATGTCCCTGCTGTATATCAACGAAGTTATCTAGGTATCACAGAACAAAGATAAACTGTAGGAATTGTGGAATGTAAACTTGAGAGTAGGTCGCTAAAATCTGGGCGTCGGTAACGACAGAGAAAAGGAACCAAAGAATAATTATATTATGTGGAATGTAAACGAGATACTGTAGGTGTCGATAACAGGGAGGGAGATGCAGTGCTGCCAAAGTTTCGGATTTAGTCCGACTACTTCGGATTTTCGGTCTTCTAAGTATGTGTCGGACGGAGTATTAATTTACTCGGATTTTTCACCGGCGTGCGCAGGAGGTGCGCGGGACGTAGTGTCGCGGGGCCAAGGGCAAGGGGGAAGGTTTCTCTGCACCCGCGGAACGTGTGGCCCCGCGAGACTACACGGTGCGGCAGTTGAAGATGCTAAAAGACCTTGTCAGCATGATGTCGGACAGGGCAGAAGCAGGATGAACGTCTGCTGGCACGTCATCTACTGGCTATGAGCGTGAAACGTCCGAGACAGAGAGTGACCCACAACAGCGTCATAGCTACACCCCCGCCGAAGTATATACGCGTGCGTTTTAGTCACATTTCAGGATTTCTCAGGATATGTTGTTTGTAAAATATCCGGATAATGTTACTTCACATTAGGATATGTCCAACAATATTTTGGCAGCACTGGAGATGGCAAAACTCAGCGAATGGGAAAACGCCTAGCTTAGCCTATAGACAAGAATCAATTGACGGGGCTATAATCTAGCTATAGCCTGAACGTGCCCGCATCGAGGTCACAGAAATCCTCTTTTCGAGTAACAGTCAAATGAAGTGCAAACCCTCGACGAACTGCGCATACGCGTACTCGGGCCAAAGGGAATTTTCCGCGCCCCCCCACGATCCATTCGCGCCAGCTGCTGCGACATCCGCGAGCCTCAGTAGTCAGTACGCGCGCATACTGTACTAATAGGCCCAGCTCATCAAATAGCGGTACTGCGCATGCGCAGTTCGTCGAGGGTTTGCACTTATTGTGGATCCTTTAACAGTACACTGATGTACAAGAAACATGTGAATGGCGACAAAACATCTGATGCGATAGAAGGCCACTAACGTTACTTTTTTATGGGCCTTATGCCCCAAAATATCCTCCTTTTATTGCACACCATGCATGTGAATGCAGTAAAAATTTAAAGCAGACAAGTAAATAAAAGTTTGGAATATAGGGATGGCATAAAAAGCAAGCAGACAAGACAGAGATGACCTAGTTCATGTTATGCACTAGTACAATGGGATAATGGTTACATCTTCAAGCTGGCATTGCCCACTCGTGTTTTCCTTCACCCAAGCCTTATAATTGTCGCAAAGTATGAGTGTGCTCCCTCGTATGATGTGCAGCTATGACAAACTCTCTTGCTAGCCTAGTCGAAATGTGTATGCGTGAAAATCATCGACTTCGCTGTCTGCTCTACCCTCAGTATAGCACTCTGCCTATATAGAGTAAATCATAGTGCCCTGTTTCATTGTTGTTTAACTATTATATATAAATATGTACCAAGGGCATTTTGAATATCTCTGCATAAACTAGTAATACAGGTAGCCCATGATTCCTGCTGAAAAGTGTATAATCGAAAAATAAGCATACACTTGTTCAAGAAAAAAACTGCCCAGTAACACAGTAACAATGATTACAATCATGAGTTATGGGTAAGGCAACATTGCTGCAACGGGTACATTATTGTCCTAGTATATATGTGAATGCAAGGCTACTGCTTATTACCTAGTCGGCTATTCAGTTGCTGGAGAACTACCTCCACGGCATTGATTAGGTCTTTGTTGCTGATCCTCTCCAGTTCGTTCTCCCAGTAATCATTACTGTCGTCGTGATCCATCAGTTGAGCTAATTCCTCCTTTGCTGCCTTTGTTATCAGATCGTCTTCCCCTGGCGCCGACTCGGCAACTGTTGTCGTGGCTCCCTGCAGCTCTGTCTCTATCTCGGTACTGAGAGCGTTGAGCAAGGCCTCCTGTTGCAGCGCCTCCTGGTCTGCCGCCTCCCCCGCTGCGTTTGCCATGGCAATTTCGCTGGCCTCTTCCTTTTCGGCGCTTGGCGCCGGGTGTCGTGCCAAGACCTCTGTCCTTGCAATCTCCTCGCTTGATTCCCCTCCACCTCTTTCTTCCTCTTTTTCGGTCCTGTCAGGCGCGGACTGAGCTTCGGAGCTGGAGCTAGTCTGCTGTTGCCGGCTCTGGGTACCGTGGGGCAGGTAGTAATACACGTCGTAGCTGCGTGAACGAGCCGGGTAGACCGGCTTGTAAATATACACCGGCTCATAATACCCAGGGCTCCCGAAGAATGAAAATCTGTCCTTATTTATTTGGTTGTAGTCGACGTACTGAGCTACCGGATACGGTGAGGCTGCGGGTGCGACTGGTCTATGTGCCACGTACGCCAGCTCGTATGCCCCGTTCAGAAGCGACTCCTCATTCGCGTCTTCCTTGCCTACAGAGTAAAGAGTTGTGCCGTCGGCCAACATAAACAGAGCTGTTGCTGGTTTGACTTCCTTCTCTTTGGTTGGTGGGGTGCAGGCGGTGGCGTTGGTACCGTTGATCGAAGTCTCGTTTAGAGATTCGTTCTTGCACATGGCAGGTGTCGGAGTTTCGGGTGATGGAACTGTTGGCCTAGTTGGAAGAACGCGAAAAGGGTTAAACCTGTCCTCGCTGACGGACTCATCCGTCTGTATACGAGGAACAACCATCTGGATGTACGGGCGCTCTGGGTCGAACCGGCTCTGGATGTAGGAGTGGATGAACGCGGCTTGCACGTCGGGCGCGGCGTCACCGGCCGTGAACGGTTCTATTCCGGCTGGTCTTAGCTCCCAGGCCTGCGGTCGAGAGTATAAATCGGGCGAGGGTTGCTCATATACTACCCGCGGCAGTGGAAGAGCGACAGCCTGCGACAGCAGGCACAGATAAAGCAGAGCTCTGACCTCCTCCATTGCCATTGGGGCGTTCTCCAGGACTGCTGGCTTGATGATCACCCGCTATATATATACTCGCTCTCGCCCTTCATATATGCCCACTGGCAATTTGATGTAATTTGATCGACATACCTACATATGGAGGAGACATTCCAGAATCGCTCATTCAATTTACCCGCGCCACGGTCGTCCAAGCAGCGGGGGCGCGGCGCGGGGAATCTCACTCAATACGCATGCGCTGCTGTGTTCCACCCAGCGCACTTTGCGCAGGGGAAATACCCACTGAACGTGTGCCGTCCCAAGTGTATATAATTATAAAGCCTAGTTAGGGAGCACTGTAGGTGGTTCCTTACGTGTCCTTGGAAGAAGTTAGTTGTTGTAAGAAATGCCAACTCTGACAGGGACTAATTCTTACTTACTTCTTTGTAGTTCAAGTGCAGCCCTAAGATACCTAACCCAAGGGTGGTGGGAGTAGCTAGCTAGGCCAGGATGAAAGAGGTCTATATCAGCATGACTGAATGTTCTAACAATACACAATGAGCTATATAATACAGCTGTTCTTCCTTGAGAATGATGTGCAGCTAATCAATAGGGATACACACAACATTATGTCACAAGAGAGATAATACTGCAGTAGCTAGCACATACACCATTGCATTTGAGACGAAGAGCTTGTATGTGTGAATTAATAATCAGTCAGCGTTTTGTTGGGCACCCCTGTCTGTACACGTCTATCATAACAACATTTGCACAGTTTTCACATCCCCCCCCCAACTATCATAATACTACAGAATGTTTGTTGATATAGCCTTTGTGGAATCTACTAACAGTCAATGTATATCCAAACTCAACCTTTTTTAAAGTGACTGTATACCTATGCAATCAGAAGATACTTACCCCTTCTGCATTCTAACAGATGATGTGTAGCTACATCGTGTGCGGGGTTGTTTTACATGTGGAATCTTGTGTCCTGTGCTTGTGGATCCGGCCAGCCATAACTCGCCAGCTGGGCCAGGGTGTTGTTGTGCTACTCGCCCTCCTAACATTGCAAGCAATGCCTCTAGCCTGCCCCATGCCTCAGTATTACAGTGAGGTAGACCTAGTACTGAGAGTAAGTATAAGTGATGTGAAAAAATTTTTATACCCAATCCTCAGACCCCGTCCTACTGCGTAAAGGAGTTGTACGCAACTGCACATAAGAGGTGAGAAATGAGTTTGTCCCAGAAATTCCTCACTTGATTAACTCATCATGTAATGCAGAATAAATATTTCTGCAAACTAGGTTACCTTGTTGCTTCCATCAATAATTGCTAATCTAATGCTTTTTCACTAGCTGTATAATTATGCCCAACTGATTAGCGCACATTTCTTGAAATAGAGATGCAACTGTAGCACCTTTACTCTATGTAGACTGCTTACTCATTACGTAATCTACCTTGTCATTCGTATAAAAAGTGTATACCCAGCCAGAGTCACAGTACAGAGAGATGAGCGTTGTCATGCGCAAGGCTGGTCGTGCCACACAACTATATAGTGCAACAGTAAAAAGCACGCACAAGATTTACAAGCAATAATGTCATTGCATGACCGTGCCGTCGAAAAGGATCACCATACAGTCAGTAAAGCCCACGGAATTAGAAAACTAATAAATGCCTACCACACATTTTCAGTAGCTTTAGCAGTACTATCTTTACTGAGAAAACAATGAAGGCCAAAGGCATCCTACACAACACAAGTTGTCAATGGCTCTGGTTAAATATCATACTGACTCATCAATAATACTAGTGTATAGGGTGACAACCATAGAATTGTACATAAGATAAACAGCTAGTTCCTCTTATTCCTCCACGTGAGCTATTTGATACCATATCAGGTACAAACACAGTCCTGTGTGTGTCAGTGTTGTTTGTGAGTGCATTGCGCTCATGTGTGGGTCCAAAAAGGTGTGTATGGATGTGATGTGATGTCTTACACGGTGCTCAATCGAGTCTGAATACTTTTACAGTTTACTATAATAATTGACATGGGACTTGCTATTGGTATGTACTGTATGTTAAGATTTCTCTCCAGGGGATTTAGCACTCTCCTTCCCCCTCCCTAAGACAATTTAAAACGAACTCACAGATGAAAGACAATAATAAGGTTATATTATAGTTGCAGAATAAGTGGTGAATTCCCTGACCAGGTGTAGTACAGTATGTCTACCAAACAAGTAAGAAAGAGTGGATGCATATGTACTTATTGGTTGATTGGTTCCGGGTACATGGTCCCGCCTCAATCATACATACCTCCAGGCAAACTATACACAACTCTACATTATAGCTACCATGTGTGACATTATCACCAAGGCAGACACATGTAGATCGTTTTATTCGAACTGCATGCATTAAAATCGCAAACTAGGCAAAAAGACCGAATATGCATGTGCTGTAATTGAGTTTGGTAGGTGGTGATAGTAACTGGGCAGCTACTGTATGTGTCAGTATAGCTCCCTAGTCATAATGATGCCAACGAATTACTACCCAATTTATCTATGTGTCAGCTGCCATGTGCCAGGCACTGCCAATAATGAGACTGTGCAGACCCCGGCTGCTGCTGGCCTATTGCTACACCCAGTTATATATGCTAATAAAGTGTGAGCTATTGGTTACCAATAATTACTATCATCCGGAGAGTTTGTAAGTTGATTAACAGTAATTCTAAGAAGCTCGCTAAGATAACTCGAGTTACGATAGGAAATCATAATAGCATTATGGAGACGCGTCTCAATTTTTGCACACTGAGAAATGCAGGTGCTGCATTTCTCAGTGTTCTTGGGAAACAACTGACTGGTTGGGTGCTCACAAGAAGATGTGGACATTTGGAATATTATCTCAATCAAAATGTCCACATCCACTTGTACAGAAGTATAATTATAGTGTACACTATTTCTGTACAACCTTTCTACCTACTTGAAAATATATTGTCCAGGTTGTGCATGCATCTAAATTAGTAAAACACAATACTTTGGACTTCGACTAACAACAAAGCAAGGGGTATATAGCTACTATGTGTACACTGACACTTAAACCAAAAATCTAGTCACAGACTACAGGTGTGTGGGTAATGTACGTATAACCTGAAAGTAATATTCGCCTATAGCTCCTTTTCCTGCTTTCAAGGATATCTCCATGGTTCATATTACTGCTACAGGTATGCATACACATTATACTGCGTGTACATTTGTTGACGTGGCTCTGTTGGGAAATTTGATAAATGACTTTCAGTCATGTGTGAAATGCGCTTAGATCAAATGCTCATTCACTGCAGGACCACCAAATTCCGCGAGTTTACACAGTTCATTACCCACCAATTGCCTGTCTCATTTCAATGGAGATGAGACTCTTCCACTCCCAGGCATGTATAATAAAATAAAGTATACACACTCTTGGGAAGACATTACTACACTTTTCAATAATACATGTCTCAACAAATTGGTAACGAGGTAGAAAGGCAAGGCCAAGCAAACAAGTCAACTACACCCAGGACAGCTCTTTCTTTTCAAGAAAAGAAGAAGAGCTTCCCTGGGTGGGATTCGAACCCACGACACTAGGCGAGTGCTCAATCAACTGAGCTACCAGGGTAACTGAGTCGGTAGGGGTTCGAATCTACAACACAACACAACACAAGGCAGACCTCAAACCACTGTGCTATGGCACAGTATACTCTCACTCAGTATATAGGGGCAGACAGGGGTAATTAAACCACCAAAGACGCCCAACTCCAAACCGACTATACGTGTGTCTCAACAACTTGGTAACAAGGTAGAAAGGCAAGGCAAAGCAAACAATTGAACTACATGTATGCGTCATTGGTGCAGTTAAATTGGATAATGAGTGGTTAACGAAGTAGACTCTGTAGCTCCTCTCAAGAATTTCTGCGCATTCATTCATAAGTGGTTAACATAATAACGTGACTAGATTCCATCTGGTGGGCATGCATGCACTTGTAGCTATGTATATTACACCAGTGCAGCTGGGAATGAGATATTTCGTAACTACCATGGCAACCAGCTGACCACCAGAGCTCAAGTTACTCAGTCTTGTTTATACAGCTGAAAATATTCGAGGTGCATGCATGTCTGTACAGAGCTGCCATGTGAATACTACCTTCTTACACCATAATTATTATACTGTACAATAATTCTACAAAAAGGGGGTGATATGTACATGAAATGTTGTCTGAACATCACGTGTAAAAAGTACAGCCTAGCAGTCTGTAGGTATATACATTATGTGGGAGGTGAAACAAGACTGTGTGTGTACAGAGGTGTGGCTGTGGTGTTGTAAGGAGACAGTACTCGTGGGAGTAGGAGGAGCCAGTTAGTTAGTAGTTTCAGTTCTTTATAGTGGGACTTTAAGGAGGAAAAGTTGCTGTGCAACACTAATTGTACACGTCTTGTTACTGGCACTGGTCGGTATTACTTTGGAAACAGGTAGCTAGTTGTACCTCTAAATTCAATAATTTCTCTGTGTAAGCATAAAAACACTACCATATTAGTGTAATGTATGTAATTATACTCTATGTGGGCTGGTATGTGGTAAAATTATACCTCCTTCCAACAACGAGTTAGTTCCTCCAACACTTACATCTGCACCCTCATACTCCTACATATGTAGTCTGAATAATGTATAATAATAGGTTTGATATTCTAAAGTTGTGCTTGAATCAGAAAGGATTAGTGAGAAATGGCATTGGCATTAGGTCACACTCTCTCCCACATAGGAGTCCATGACACCAGTCATTTCCACAGCAGAAATATAATACCTCAGTCACCTCAGCTATAATATACACACCATGAATATTATGTCACACATGATGCAACTTTGATGCCTGAGACAGAGTTGCAGGCAATTTATATTATGGATTTGATGGGTCTGAAAGATGTTGCACTTTGTTTAATGGTCTATTGTGCCCAGTAGCATCGCCTTGATATATACCTTTTCAGTCGAAACATTTAAGTGCAAGTCAAAATCTGGTTAAAGTAGTTATGCTGTGCAGTTCTTTGTATATACCACTACATCTTCTGATAATGACAACAATAATTGGTTGTTTGTGCGGGTGTTCAAGTGACGATGGTTTTGAGGGTAGATTCCTGGGAAGAGATGTGGTGCAGGAAAGTGATGTCCATGTTTAGACATCAGTGTTTCTTGGAAAGTAAGTTGGCACTTGATTGCACTTCTTATTTCTCTACATACTTGCAATTTCTGTCTTATACATGTCTGTGGTGTAGTGACTTCCTCTGTTGCGGTTATTGTACTTTATCTTGTTGTAGTAGCTACTTTCTCTGTAAGTAAGTTCAAACACTTTGTCAATAATAAATCATCAACAGCCACCATGCTTTATGTGCTCGCTTGCCAACAATGCTAATTCCAGTCCCAGTATATGAATTCACTCTCGGAAATGGGAGAGGATGCTGGGGACACGGTGAGTATAGCTGTTTTAGTGTGCATCCAATGGCTCTGTCCAGTGCCAGTGCAGTGACAGCCATTAAAGTCTCTGATGTCGGAATAAGTAAAGGTAGATGCTTATACGGGCTGTTAGTATTGGCATAGATACCACCACACATTGTTAACATCCAGAAGCTGGCTTTGTTACAGGGCTGTATGCCCGAGGAATGTTATTGGCTACTATTGTCTTCAAAGAAGAAGTACATGCATGCATGATTGATTCATAAAGAGTGAGGGTTGGCTGGAATGAATATTAGGTTCCTTGCATCCGAGCACTATAGCAGCTTCCTGCAGTGTGACTCAAAGGACAAACATGCTAGGGCAGTTATGAAGCATGCACGTGTTATAGATTGTGTAGCAACAGTAAAAATAATGAGATTGCATCAAAGTACACTCAGCCCTGAGCGTCAGGTGCACAGAGGGTGGCAATTCCTTGTATAATTATGCTGTTGACTATAGGTACCCACAGATAAAGGATACACACCTGTATCGCATGCGTGTGACGTATGGGTGCGCATGCAGGCAAGCGCAGGCGGATGGGGGGATGTGGTATTGTGTATGTTTCCATGTATGATATAGCTAACAGAATGTTTCTACAATGTATATGAGGACTATTAGACCTTGGGAACTTTTTAGTATTGCCCGCACCATTGCCTGCACCATTCTGCACCCAGCTACCTACATCAAGCACAGGTATGGTTCTTATTATAAAGCTTTGCAAACACAGCCTTGGACTCTGCCTCCCCATCATAATATTTGAGGCAACACCTCTGAGGATACCAAAACTGATATAGACCCAACTTTATTGTGTGAGTAAATAGCATTGACGGGGGAGAGAGACTCTATATTATAATGGCAAAGGCTGCCAGTGCTGAAAATAATATCATGGGGCAATGTCATGTCATGCCTAATATTGTGAGTTAATTGTGCAGTTCAGCTGTGGACAAAATATTGTGGTCTCAGCTCTCTTGTTTGTTAATTAGCCGTCCCTCTGTTCTAAAACTATTGTAATGCCACGATGGAAATGTTCCTACAATTAATAATTGCCTCTGGTAGCAATGCTCAGTATGCACCAAATAATTTTCAACTTCAAAAATGAGTGACAGCATACATCCCAAAACTCAGCATACGTACATCAGGGATAATTATATATACACACATGCAAACTGAAGCAGCAATGGACTATTATCTCCCTCAGTTGGACAGAAATGAACAAGCCCCATTAACGAATGAAAAGCACTAAAGTGCAAACCCTCAGCGCACTAGAATGTCGAACCTATACACATGCGCCGTACAGCTAAATGATAGGCTTGGCTATGCATTGTAAATTGCTAGTCTAGTACATTAACCTTCGCTGTGTATGTGCGCCGAGGGTTTAATGGAAACACTTGAAAGTGGATAATCTTCATCAATATATATATTATAGTCAACATTACGCACAAACTCAACATGAGGAGTGGTAGCTCGTTTTGTGGCGCTAGTTTTTCTGACATTAGGGCAATATGCGTACCAATATTAATGGTAATGGCCAATCCAAAAGAGTTGTTGAGAGGCTTCTTACAATACTGGCCACACATTAAAAAGAGAAAACTATATGTTTTGCACCGTTCCATTATCCATGGGTTAGGCAAAAATCATAAAATCTGAGGTTGAAAAATAGTAATGGGCAATCTGAAAGAGTTACGCTTCTTACATATGCAAAAGAATACTGGCCAACTTGCACAATTCAACGGGCGAAAAACATTTGGGCCAGCTGGCCATCTCTCCAGACAGACGTCTACGGACGCAGTGCTATGCCGAACTATACGCTGCCCTTCGAGAAACGTGGGTCAGTGGTAGATTTGTGGGTAAGGGGAGAAACCAGAGCTGTTCCCAGCCAATGCTCTGGACCGCCTGTCAGTTTCAGAGCTGGTCTGGGATTCGAACCGGGCACCTTATGTGACAGTCCCCACGTCTGCGTGTAGATTCCCGAGGGCGCTCTAGGCTTGGCTGCTGCTGGTGTGTAAGGGTCAACAAATGCTGACATCAATAGCGGAGATTACAGTGGAAATTTATTAAATTTCATCAGTTACTTAATCCCTTCCTTTTGACACTCAGCCTGGGACATTCAGTAAATCTCCCTTTCATTGCTTTACCATAAATTCCTACCTTTCCATCGATTTGTGGCATACACTTTCTTGAATCCCACCTTTTACTTTTAGTAAATCCTTTACATGGATTTAGTAGCTACATCCCAACCCTTTTTCATTCTTTCCCTTGACATTATATAGCAAATCCCCACTTTAATGCTGCCTTCACCCTGGGATCCCAAACCTACAAACCTTCTTCCGTGGACATCAGTTATTAATCCCAAAGGAACAGTTTGTAATACAAACTGACCACACACCTCCTTGGGCGTGCACGCAGTGTTTGTGCAGTGATAGATAATTATGTAACTGTGCACTCAAAAACATATGGAGCAATACTGGATGTAACCCTCACTGGCGTGGTTCAAGCTTTTTCAGTTAAGTGCCACAAAGTAAGGCCTGATATATCAGTACCAGCTATAGATTACAACACACTTGGACAGTATTGAACCATTGCGTCATGATGACAACTGGCATAGCCTGCTGGAGGAAATAGTCCAATCTGCAGTGTTGTTCCATTCTTCAGTTGACAGATGGTGGCAGGAGTATGAATACACATTAATTTTACAATCTGCTCGTAGCTCATGTTTACAGCTGTCCTGTATCATCTGTTTACGTGACATACACTTTCTCTTTAGACTGCTACGTTCACAGTACTGCGACCACATCACATGACAGTCACTATATATCACAATGAAAAACTAGCATTGCCTACTAGCTGCATGCCGGACCGTGTGTACACCCGACAACGTACAAAGATCATAATACAGGTAAAATGCAGAAAATAAACATGCTGGGGTCCTCAGCAGAGACAGAGGGGGGTCCAAGAACATGCACTTACCCGTTATCCGTGCGGTGTACCATTCTCAGACTACCGACCAGCCTTGTAATTTGTACACACCCACCAAAACTTGCTACTATAAGGTTATAAGTTCAAAGGTTCAGCAGACATTGCCTTGAGGGTAAGACGTTGTGAGTGCAGAAATCGGATGATGTATATATAATTATAGTCGGAGTCAGAGTTCGAACACATGGCTGATCAGTGTTGGCTCCCGAGTTCCCATACTTGCTAATTGCAAACATGCTTGTTTTGTGCATTTATTTAGAAATTCACCCACATATCACCTGCAACTGGAGCATGTAAGCATTGCTGAGATGCTGTTTGTCATTCAGGCTTTCAAACCCACCTGCTGTTGACAACATTATAACACACATGCCACCATGTACTGGGTGGACACAGACCAAAAGTGCACCGCTTTTGACAACGTACATTATATACGTATGTGGAGTTTAGTATATAGACTCCTCTAATGTTGATCTGTTTCTAGATATGTGTGGGAAGCTGTATACCTTACAGATGGCAAACAACGTTTATCGTCCTTTGTGCATAATTATTCCATGAGTATTGGACTATGCCAAAAAGTTAATAATGGTGAACCGAATGCTGATACTGTTTTCAACTCATGGTAGAGAGAAAGAGAGAGAGAGTCAGAGTCAAGAAGTTCTGGCTCTTGAGAAAGCTAAGTAATTCAGATCTTCAAGCTTTGTAGAGTTGTGAATCTCAGACTGCGAATGAAAAATAAACATCCACAATAAAATCAAGTCAATACAGAATCTGACTACATATGCCCCAGCAATGACACGCAGCCAGTCCATCAACAGACAGAGTGTAGCAATGCAATCTTGTGTGATATTACTAACGGTATATCCAATGTTGTGTGCCATGGTTGTGACTTTCCTTGTGTACACTAACTTCTGCTCCTTTTTCAACTCTAGCATGAACCTGCACAGAAAGCCAGGAGCTGGAGATGGCATTGTGTCGTGTGTCATAACGTTAGTGCAACTATTAATGCAGAAACCAAGTTTAGTGAGTTGTTGCATTATCTACCTATTATAATATACCTCAAGTGTCCTATGAAGTGTGCAGATAATGTAAACAACTTGTCATTGGTCTGCACCATTAATGCGGATTATAATTTGTTACATGCATATTTATCAGGCACTTCACTTTCTCAAACTTGTGGCAAAACAACTCAGCGATTCACTAAATTACTATATATGATGGTTGAAGTCCGTAGCTATGGTACCTGGCAGTCTCCAACAAGATGATAGAGTGTTGGGAGAAACAGACATCCACACCACTTGTTAGATGGTGCACCATGCTGAAAATTTCAAGTGAAAATCTATAGTATGAAAACAAAGTAGAGCATCTACCTGTTAGAAAAGTAAGCAATGTCAAACAAGCCCTTGAATCCCGCTTTCTTGGACAGATCTTGCACCGAGTTCAGTGGCAGGAATGTAATGCAGCAACCTCCATAGAAACATACAGGTGTTCACTATCACGGTTTTGAACTTTCGTAGTAATATAGAATGATACCTTTTTGGAAGAGTCTGCCTTTCTGTGTCTGCACAATTATAAATAAGAGATTAAGTGGATCTTTATTGTTCTACCTAATACCTGCTCGCAATCACCACCATCATCATCATCAACCTCCCGGATAGAAGGCAGTTTCTCTCCCACGTAGCTCTGGAGGTGTCAACTCCACTCAGTCTGCCCAGCAGCCACTGTGCGTTCCATACACTCACATCCACACTGCCCTGAAGGGGAAAATAATAACATTTGGCTGCTCTTGATTTGTCATTTTGACACCACTCAACAAAATGTCTGAGGCAGACTATAGCCAACACAAAGAAGCTATTGTAGCATGCCTTGGTGTGTTTGCTATTGGTTTTGTGGAAGAGATCTTTGTTGTCGGACTCCAGCCCCAGAGCCAGGTAGGGACTGTTCACTATGTCGCCCCAGTAGCCCCTCCTGGCCACTCTCTCTCCTCCCTACAATCATCAGAGAAAGCGAAAGGGGGTTTAAACGTGAGTTGCATATTGCTTGTGTAACTTGACCTTCATGGTGATGAGGCCAGAGGCCAAGGTTCTGTTGCTGTACTGGTAGGGAGCGTCATCTCTCAACTGGAAAGCAACACCACTTTCTCTCCATCCCTGGTACTCTCTGCTCGACACTATCTCAGCCTGACACAAACGCACCAATAGTGACCATGTTAGGAGCTACTGTTACATACAAACTAGCTGTTAAACCAGCTGACCATTTCATGAAGCTTCATATGGTAGTCCCAGTCAAAGACCCCAGATCTGCTGTCATACCTGGTCCCCAGGTGGTGTCTCAGTCTACTTTCCCTGTTAAATGTTCCAAATAATGCTTCCTACTATGCCGGCTACTGCTAATCACACAATGTTAACAACATTAATACTGATGTTCAGTACTTGTATGCATAGAGGTGTAGTACCAATGTTTCGAAATATCAAATGTGGCTGCATCTTGAAGTCTCCAAAACTTGAATATTCCCTCCAACATGTCCCTCTCCTTGAACTGTGTGGAAACATGCACAGCCTAGCTAGACCATGGAAATCAGGCCACCACAAACCTTGAGAAGACTCAGGTCCAGCATGGGAAGCGTCTCCTTCTGGTAGTCCAGGTCTGTGACCATTCTACACGTGTTTAGTGACAATGTGTTTGCTACTGTGTATCACTGGGGAGACCCCTGACCTGATTAGTCGATTGGCTTTCTCTGATAGCCACTGAGACGTCTGGTGGCGGACTAGAGTGTTGCCGTACAGTTCCAGGAACAACTCACTCCGCTCTGGAGAGATCGAGATACATGTATGTCGAGTTAGCAAACCAAACAGTGCTCAGCAATCATGGATCCTAACAAATAATTAGCCAGTGAAGGCCTACTTGTTGTCTGCTCACCTGACGATGGTTGCACGTGTTGATTTTTGAAATTAAATTTCGTGATTGTTTGTGCCGTGCATGTGTGACTCTCATGTGATTGTGAGTGTGACCTTGTAGTCCCAGCTGGTCCAGGGGCTCCGAGGCCAGAGTCAGAAACAGCATGTGTCGTGCTAGCAGCTCAAGACTACTCTCAGCCACATAGAACTGCATACAAAGTGTATCACACAGACATAGAATGAGATTGGATTTATGATCTGCACATTACACAATCATGTATTATGGTAGGTGGCTATTATTATATAAGGGAGAGTCGGGAATACCACACCGCCCCAGTGAGTTTACAACCCCCCCTCCCCTGTTGCAGTGCCTTCGACCACAACAAAATCGTAACTGACATCCCTCCTCAATCCACAGACAGTGACCATTATGGGGTGCATGTTTGGGTATAAGGATATGGGTAAATTTGTGAGTATGGACTCACGTGGAGAGGTTTCGTGGAGTGAGCAAGAGTCATGAGGACATGTCTGAGGTCTCCACTACCAACCACCAGAATATTACTGCATTCTGAGTAAATCAGCAGGGTGGGCAGCTCATGATTATAAGACTCAGCAGCATAAGGCTACGAAATATTCTGGACACCTTTTGTAGCACAAGCGCAAAAAATTCGGGACTGTGAGGCGACCCCAGACCCGCCCCTCGTTTCTTTCCCGCCGAGAGCCTCACCGGGTGTCGGGGCCACTGCCGCCAGGTCTAGAGCCGGAGAAAAACCCCACCACGTGGTGCTGCCAAATCCCTCCACTCCACCTGACATTATCTCTCAGTCTCCGGTTTCCAGTTGTGACTAGTTCGCCAAGTGTGAGTCGGACAGCAGCTGCTGTTCTGTAGAGCAGGGGCACTGCGAGCTCGCAACGTTTCTAGAGCGGCACGCATTAAGCACGCAACAGGTACGTTAAGTGCACGACGTAACGTAACGTAACGTAACGCGCAAGCACGTATCGTTGTGCAATTATACATGTACAAACACTGCAGTACTAAACTCTACACAAACGACAAAGAATGAATGGTATTGACACGTGTTCAGCGAAGTTCCACTGTCTTTGGTGTGGAGCCTGCATCCTCCGTCAATTGCCGACCTAAATACTCCCTGTGTGTGAGGGAGGGAGGGAGGGAAGGACAAACCATCAGGTCAGGACAGACTAAAACTTTTGTAAACGTTTTGCAAAAACATTTTCGTGAATGCAGCTGGCAGGTGTGCATGGCAAGAAAAAAGCAACTTGAGCAAAACTCGTGCAATGTTGTGTAACACTCACCAGTTCTGGACCATCATCTTCTGTATGGCGAGGAGTGCCTGCATCCTGACATCGGCATTCCCATGACTCACCATCCCCATCACCATCTCCTTGGCTCCCAGTGCGTCCAGGTTCCTGCATCGAGACACAGACAACACACAAGTGTATCTATATACAGCTATCAGAGGACAACATGAAGAACCCAGTACACTAATATGTAGCACTGAGCTGAACTAAACAAAACTAGTCTCGTGCACACTTTATGGTGGAAGTACCATGCAATGTACGTGTGTCCAACAAGGCAAACATACATACACATACGCCCAGGAAAACATTAGAGCTGCCCGTGGTGGGATGATTTGACCCGACGACACACGCAGTCTGCTTATAATACATACATAGGCGAGCGCATCCAGCTGTGTTACAGCAGATGGGCTTTCGAACCTACAACAGAAGATCCTCAAACAACTGTGCTGTTCTAAGGCACAGTCACTCAACATAGACACTAAATAAGTGAAGTTGCCGTTTTCACCTCTTGCCCCGTGGGTAGTAGCGGACGTACTCCCCCAGGTCGTGGGCTGCCACTGCAATGGCCACTGCACTCTGAGACTCTTGGAGAATGAGCACCAAGGTCCTGCAGACATGGGGACAGATACCGCGTATAGAGACTCACATCCTGACGGAGTGCTCACTTGAGGATCTCGTGGTTGTTTTCATTTAGTTTCATCACATTCTCTCTCTGTAAACAGGGCATGGTAAACATACACAAGGCTGCAAGGCAGTGGCAAAACAAACAAGTCAACTACGTACACCCAGGACAACTCTTTTCTCCAAGGCTAAAGGAATAGCTGCCCTGGGTGGGATTCGAACCCACGACACTCTGTAGTCTAGGCGAGCGCTCTACCAACTGGGTTACCAGGGCAACTCAGCTGGTTGAGGGTTCAATCTACACAAGGCAAAGGCAAAGGCAAACCTCAACCAACTGTGCTATGGCACAGTAAACCATCACATACTGTGACAACAAATAAGGTGTGGTTGTTAGCGCTACTATTTTATGTAAGTTTACCCAGAACTTGTCAGAGCGATGCACAGGGCTCCATTCCAGTCGACCACTCTTCACCTCTGCTGCATACTCATCCCACGAGCTGAGATACACACACACACCACACACGGTTACTAGAACGAGCATTTTTACCAAGCAAACACAGGCGATGCAGCAAAGATTCAGTTATGTGAATGTGGGTAGCAAATGATGTGTGTTTTAAGTTACATGTATACCTCAGGTCCTGGAGGCTGGCATTCAATCTCTCATGAAGGAAAACAATGTCTTCCTACAGCAGAGTGGGGGGGATCACAAGACTCAATTACACATTGTCACCATAAATTAGGCAATTGCGTTAGTGAGGAAGTGACTAACTTGTAATTCAACATCGTCTTTTGTCTGCTGCACAAGGATGTTTAATACCTACACAGTGGATAAAAATGACAGCATACCACATGCAGTGGCTCATAAGATCATCTGTAGGAGGTAAATAGAGAGGTTACTGACAGGGACGGCCTTGAAGTGAATCATCTCAGCAGCAAACTGCTCTGCCACAGACTGCCTGGGCTTCTCCAACAGGTTCTAAACAGACAAGAATCTCATTGATACATGTGTCAACTACTGTAGTGAGGTATATACAAAGGCAAGGCAAAGCAAACAAGTCTACTACACTCAGGACAGCTCTTTCTTTTCAAGAGCTGGAAGAACAGCTGCCCTGGGTGGGATTCGAACCCACGACACTCTGCAGTCTAGGCGAGCGCTCTACCAACTGAGCTACCAGGGCAACTCAGCTGTAGGGATTCGATGTAGAACACAACACAGTATACATAGGAAGGAAATGGTGAGAGAGTGTTAGTACAGCGTTGGCTTACCCTAAAGGTAGCAAAGATGACTCTCTGGACCTTTTCCCTGTTAGTGGCCCTCAGTACATCACACAGGACAGCTGCCATGGGGTACCTGCACAGATCATACGCACACTGACTAACAAGCACATACTGTAGTCACTGCACGACACTGTTATGCAGGACAAAAAGCTGGAAATGCAGCTAAAAGTTACAAAAACACATCAACAGTTTATTGGAACAGAGGAAGGGTAGGGTAGGGTATGGTAGAGGTGTTGATTCATACTGTAGAAACCACTGTGCTTACTCTTTCATCTTCTCGACGACATCACTCTGGAAGGAGAGCATCCAGACACAGAACACCAGTTGGTACTGCAGTTGGAAGGTGATCCTTCGATCCAGCAGATCCACAATCCTGACAGCAACACAGAGAGATTGTAGACACGACGCACGACAAACAGAGCATTCCCTTCACAAAAAGCTCTGCTACCCTTGCATTAGTTCAAGAGGCTACAGCACAGTTTGTCTACAGTAACAATCTCCTCGCACAATACATTGAGCACCTTGCTATGGGTGTTGGGTGTTTGCTGTTTGCTGTGCTTTTGCATCTCGTAGTTGATACATGATATCCGTGGCTTACGGTTTGATTCCATTGGCAGAGATGAAGGCCATGCGATAGCTCTCCTTCCTGAGGAATGTCATCAGAGCTTTCGTCACACACAGCAGGTAGTCCGGCTGCAAAACACATTAACAATAGAAGCAAGTTCACACAACACTATGCTCCTAATACTATAGTACAAGACACAATACATACACATGTAGGTACTGTATGTTCAGGACTAGAGCATACGTTTCTGCTGAGCTGAGCGACAGTCCAGCCGAGATACTGGTTGACATTATCTGCTGGTATCCTCTCCGATGTGTGAGACCACAGTCTAGCTATCACCAGAGACGCCTGCACACGTTGAGTAGTACATACCACATCACACCATACAACATTTGGGAGCATTCTCGATCTTTGACTTGCCACGGAAAAATTTGTACATACTCGTCCAATATGTCTGTGTCCACTAATGTTCACACAATAAAGTGTGTTTTCACCTGGTGTTTGCTGTACTTGTCATTCTTGTGGAACACACTCAACAGTGGGCGGTACAACTGGTCACTGATGAGACAAAACATTTGTACAGCAACTACGTATAATACAATGTAACAGAGTATTAATTGCCGAGCGCATTAGCATGAGGCAACTAATCCGGGTTGTATTCTCGCGATATGCATACGTATGTGTCGGTCACGCTTAAGAATGTCAATTAGTCACACTTAGGAATGTCAACTTCCGTCATTCGTAGGAAGTCTAGCTTCCGCCGTGCGCGCAGATTCGTAGGAAGTCTGGCTTCGCGCGCAGTCAGTAGAGTGCGTGCACGAGCGGCCTCAGTCGGACTGTTTATGCATTGGCTGGCAGGCGCGAGGCAAAATATGCGCGTGCGCATTCCTAGTATTAGTATACCCACCCGTCAGTGGTTTTGACTATGAGAGTGACGTTCTTCTCGTCGTCGGTGAGATCGGCCAGGAGAGTGAGGACGTACTGCAGTGGCTCCACTGAGTGAACTTTCTCAACCATACTGGCAAACAGCTCCACACACTGAGACCAGAGGGGTATGTAGGTCATGGGGCAGGGGGGAAGAGAGAGCAGTGTGAAGTTTTAACGAACCAAAGGGAATTTGGGTCAACCGGCCACAGACACATAATGTGTCCAAAACCTCCATAAGTACATTAGAGTTTACATAGGGTTTAACACTAAATTTTCTGCTTATTAAAGAAGATGTCTATTGCGTCCAAACGGTTTTTTAAAGTAAATTATAGCAGTGGGAGGATGTCAACTGACATGATATGGGTATTTCTTGACGTAGTATCTCTTCTCATCTCTGGTGGACTGGAGATACTTCTCCCCAAAGCTGTAGGCATTCTCTGAGATTTGCTTGTTTCTGTGGTAGAATCACAAACCTGCTCAACTAACAATGGTCAACTGGTCAACTAATACACCTGTGTCAAACTGCTTCACAATTAATAGTACACAAAGCCGCCGATAATGATGAAGTAAAAGGAAATGAGTTCTATATGTAGCTACACTTCTCCAGCCATTTCCTATGGGTGCATAGCAATGGAAATGGCGACAATAAAAAAATACTTGGCTGCTGTGATATTGCCCATTTGGCATGGGAGCAGTGTGAGTGGTGCAGGTGTATTAGTATTACACTGACCGGTAGAACTCTTTGAAACTGAATGGTCTTTGTCGGATCTCCTCTGCTTCAATGTGGATCTTGTTGTAGGAGGCAGCAGCTACACGGGAGGACAAAGATAGACACAGTCTGAACACAGACCTGCCTATTAGGTGACTACACACAACAGCCTTTCATGCTCAATACAGGGAGCTCATCACGTGGAAAGTTACATCATAATCATAAATGGAAGGTAATACGATTTCCAAGAGGATTCAGAGAATGTTAGAGTTATTATTGTGATCATTACAATAGGCAGCTACAGCACCATGGGGTATACACAACCGCAGGCCCACAACTTGTAAATTTAGGTGATTGATTAACTGTTGGGGAAGCGAGACACAGGACTTTCTGAGACTGGGGGGCAATCCTTACCGTTAGTCTCGGCCTGACTCTGCTGCACCGTCTCAATGACGGCAGTAAGGGGTTTGTAGTTGGCCATGGCCTCTCAGTCTTTGGTCTCTAGCGGCGCTCTCCCTCCCTGATGCACACACACACAGCAAGAGCAGACTGCACTGAGACCTGGTGTGCGATTATTGGAAAAAGCGTCATGTGACAGCAGCGGTTCGCAAACGCAACGTTTACGTACACTTTCCGAATAATGTTGCGTAGTTCAAAGTTCATGTGACAATGCAACGACTGGGGGCGTGAGGTGCACGTACCTGCATATACACACGTACACGTGTGCATGCGAGATGAGCATCCCCCGTCCTCCGCCTTTCGCGAAGGAGTCGTTTCGAGTGCCCGTTGGGGGGTACTCCGAGGAGGTTGGATGGGGAGGCAGACTCTCCAAATGGCAGTGGGCTCTGGCCATCGGCGTACCCGTGGCTGTAGCCGCTGGCCTGGCTGGCCTCACTCTCCTCGTCCGAAGACGACGGGCCAGGGAGAAGGAGAGAAGTCCGCCGCCATCTATGAGCCCCACTCCCGTCGCCTCCCCAGCCTCCACCACCGTGCATAAGACTGAGTCGTCTGGCGGGAAAGTGACGGTTAGTACATGCACTTTGTACTTTTCCAATTAGAGCGCAGGGCTCATTTCAGTATGTAACCTGCTTCCTACGAGGCGGACATGTTTGAGACATTTGTATTCAATGTGCTCGATCCCATTTGTGAAGAAGGCTTGGATTTGTGTGTACATAGAATGATTGACCATTCGTTACTGAAAGGTGTGTGTTTGTGTGTCTGGACATGGAATGATTGACCATTCGTTACTGAGTTACTGAAAGGTGTGTGTAACTGGACGCAGGCCCAGGGGGTGAAGCAGAGAGGTAACGCACTCTTCAAGCAGGGGAAGCTGGAGGAGGCAGCCCAGTGCTATGAGGAGGCCATCCAGTTGGGGACAGCTGGGGGTGATGTGACCCTCCTTGCCAGCTGCCACCAAAACCTAGCTGCCGTCCACGATGAACTGGTGAGCCCCTTTAATTAACAGATTGGTTCCACTAATCCTTTACTTACATCTTGCATCTTGAAGGTAAAAAAGAGTACAGATGCTGACCAAAAGGTACTCATGATTCTGCGGCAATATTTATCCATGTTTAATGTGTTCCTACTGTATGTTGTGGAATAGAAGCACCATAGTCAGCTGGTGATAGAGAACTGTGATAAGGCCATTGCTCTCGATCGTCGCTACGTGAAGGCTCTGCTGCGGCGGTTCAAGATGCACCAGGCACTGGGCCACATGGAGGAGGCCCTCCTCGGTGGGTCACCTCACACACTTCTTCCAGTTGTATATACTGCCGCAGTTGACCAGTACACCTTACACATGAAGTATTGTCATAGCCTAAACGTGAGCCCAATCAATTCTGCCCAAAAGTTTACATCATACAGTACTAGTTATTTTTGTATAATTGTACGAGCCAAACACATACACTCTTTGCGGTGACTATATAGTATCATCTGCTGCAAAGTAGTGCTGGGACTGCTCGCTTTATACTGACACTCTAGTGTGTCTCCATAGATGTGACGCGAGTGTTGCTGCTGGATGAGAGCCATGCTCAGAACCTGTCCACCAGTGTCACCACTCTGCTCAAGGACCTCAGTGTGGCTGATGCCGCCAAAACCTTCCCAGTCAGTTACCCTCCCTCTCCCCTCCCCTCTCTCCATGCATGCTTACTCTCTTGCATTCTATAGCTAAGTGTCACATTACACCCACTTCCTCTTTTGTTATGCTACCATGTACATCTTTTTGTATGCACATGAAATTAATTACTTGCTCCCTCCCACTATTACGCCCCGCCTTTTATACATGTTATAGGGCCTGCCTTCTTATTATATACCTCTTCTAATTTATGAGCTTCAACTTAACCTACTGTATGATGTGTGCTTTGTATTATTAACCCTCGGCGCGCATGCGCAGCGAGGGTTACGGTAGTTGTCCCGTAAGTGTGTCTGTCAGTCTGTCTGTTACCACGTTTTCTGCCACCGCGCGCATGAAATCAGGTAAATAGCGATATGATCGGGTTGAGTGCTACACTGGGTTGATTTTAAAAAAGGTGATTTTCGTAAAACTACTGTGTTTTAAAGTTATGGCGTGAAAACCAAGTGAACAAGCCAATATGTAAATTAGCACAGGCTTACCCCGGCCGCGTCCGTTCGCTCTGTGTGTCTTGAAGGCACAACAAGTCACAACGAAGGGCATGTATCAACTCCCGCATGCTATTTACTACTGTAGCTAGCCCGTGCCAGACTCTCCGCGAGCTACTAGCGGGATACCACGAGTAAAGGCATAAAAAGCCCAGCCCCTCAACGCACATGCGCAGTTCGCCGAGGGTTTGCACTTTAGTGCTTTTCATTATATTCTGTTTAACTTCGTGTATAATGTGGTCTCTGCACAGACGCTGGGGCCACTGGCTCCCACAAAGTATCTTGTGAAGACTTACACAGAGTCCTACATTTGGAAAGGTGGGATTTCTTTTGTCACGAATGTACAGTATGTCACCTTGCATGTGGAAAAGCAGCATTGTAAGTGGTATTTAGTTACTTTTCAGTATAATTATACTGCTTGATACACGTACTACTCCAAATCTCCAACAACCTTTTCTCGTGGATTGTAACTTATATGTAGGCAATAGATACAGGTCTGTGCTTTTTGTACAAGGTTGGCTACCGCCGAATGAAGCGAACCTACACCTAGTCGTGAGAATCGTACATGCTTCTGTATTATGTACAGACAGTATGTGTCCAACGTTGCCACCCTAATCGTAATGTCCTACGTGATTCTAAATGCACTCGCATGCACATGCAACCATTCTAGTATACTGCTTTATTTTTTGCACATCAGCTTTTTTTCTGGGGTACTAAGTGTATGCATGTGAACTACGAGATAGAAAGGCAAAGGCATTTACGCGCACACAGATGATATATCAGAGGAGAGACTGAGGGTCTTGTGGCTAGAGGCTCATCCTCCTACAGTGGATGCACCTGATAGTGTGGATGTGTCTCAGGACCAAACACACGTGGAGACAACACAAGAGACTGTGCCTACCAATGGTTTGACTGGTGGTGAGAGGGTGGAGGGGAGGGAGGTAGATGGGGAGGGAGGGGAGGGAGGAGCAGGAGGGAGTGGGGAAGAGGGACAAGTGTTGGATGATGCAGTGGAGAAGAAGAGTCAGGAGGAAGAGGGAGGTGAGGGGGAAGGCGAGGGAGGGGACTCGGTTAAGGAGGATAGGGCAGGAGAGGAGGGAGAGAATGAGGGCAAAGAGGACGTTGAGGTGGAAGGTAAGGGGGAGGAGAGGGAGAAGGAAGGTGGGGCAGGAGGTGAGAAAGTCCAAGAGAACTGTGAATTGGAGGACCAAACAGCCGACCGTATGACTGGATTTGGAGAGGAGCCGTTTGTGCAGGCAGCCGCAAAGTTCTCGCGCTATGAGCTGGGTGGCATACTTTGAGCTTCTAACCCAGGCCATTGATGCAGGTGAGTAGCTAGCACAGCCATCGATATGCTGACAATGTATAGTCCTTCTAACATGCTACAGATAATAAATCATCCTTAATTAAAATGTTAGTGAGGTGGCCTTATTGCAGGTGTTAAATCACATGCAAGAACTATTCTTTGGGGAGGAAAAGGTGTCTTTATTATAGTTGTGTTCCAATTTCAGTCGTGTCCTGAGAGAGGAGTTCCGCTGCATGTGTATGTAGGTACCCTTGCTACATGTGCTCTGTGTGTGTGCAGGTCATGAGGTGTTCAAGGTGCATGCCCAGCTACTGCGAGGTACTCTGCATGCTCTGTGGAGGATGGAGGCTGAGGCTCTGAGAGATCTTCAGGCTGTCATCAATACCCAGGGACAACCCAGTCAGGTCAGACACCTTATCGTGTTCAGTCTCGCCTGTTTTCATTGTACTGTCAGAGGTCATTGGTCTTTATGTAGTACATTTTCTGTGATGTTCTAACTACCCCCACATGCAAAGCTTGGGGTACAGCAGAGGAGGGAGGTCGGACATGCGCAGGGATTGCGTCATTGTAAATGACATTTGTGCTGACACAGCAATTTCTTTCCCGTAAAGAATGTATGGGGAGATAAAAGAGCGTGCTGTAGCAAAACCAAGCGGGATTCGGAGAGGATTTGCAACTTACTCAATGTAATACGTATGTAACAAAGATACTGAAAATCCTATTATCCCCAGCGATCCCCTACCGCTCGGCAAGATATAGTGAAGAATACTAATAACTCTGTCACACTCACAACGTGAGCCCTATAGCTAAGCTAAATGCACAGTACCTTACTTTGATCCTTTTTACAACTCTCAGTGTGGTTTCAAGCGAATGCTCCGTCTGTTTTGTCAAAAAAACTAAGCATAGGTCGAGCAAGTCGTCGAAGGTCGTGCATTCCTTAACGCGCTAATTGAAATTCTTGTACTATTCACATGACCGTGTCCGACCTCCTCTGGGTACAGTATGTGTCTGTCTGTTTTCTAACTTATCACTTTACGAGGCATTATTCCACCACAAATAGTCAGTGGTGGACAGGTGGAATCTTCTAAAAATACTTCCTTTGAAAATATGGTGAAAGTGGAAGAGCCAATAGCAGTAGCTTACCTCCACCTGGGTTTGCCCATTCAGTGCACAAGGTATCCAGAGTCTAGCATTGCCCTAGGGTAGGAGTGATCCAGCCAGCCAGTGTTAGAGCAAGAAATGGAGGAATTTGCGAGTTAGTTAGGGTGTGTTGCGTGGCCGCCCAGGCCCCATGAATTGCTTTCAGTGAGTGAGAGTATACGTGGTTTGAGGTTTGCCTTTGTGTTGTATTGTGGTGTAGATTCGAACCCCTACCAGCTGAGTTGCCCTGGTAGCTCAGTTGATAGAGCACTCGCCTAGACTTCAGAGTGTTGTGGGTGTAGATGATTTGTTTGTTGTACACCTTTGCCATTGTACCTCATAGTTTTCACATGTTAATATATGCAGTGTGGAGAGATTCCTTTCACACCAAATTTGCACTTTAAACTGCTTTGTGTCGCATAGTGTTAGGAGCTACATATAAACATGCACCACTATAATGTACTTTGTACTTTATATCTGTATTGTGTGTGTGCAGATGTATGTGAATGCCCTCATCAAGAGGGCAGGGATATTTGCCGGTCAGCATAACATGGACAAGTGTAAGACATGTCTGGAGAAGGCTCTCGCTATTTGCCCCGACTCCATTGACGTCCTGGTCCACAGAGCCAGGGTAAGTCCATTTCAGCTGTGGCAATGTTGTATCGATGAGCATAATGAGAACAGTGGATAGATGGCAACAGTCATAATGTAGTGGGACGTTTCAGTATATATGTTGTCATGTGATGTGGATGTGAATGTGCTTGTGCCAATCCCACCTTTTTCCTTCATTTGTGATTCCAGGTATCATGTGAATTACAGTACATAAAAGCATTGTGCTACACACACACTGTACAATACTAGTAACGTGTAAGTTTCACGGAATGCATACGTATACTGCGCGCGTGCACACACACACACACACACACACACACACACACACACACAGGAGATGAGCAAACTCGACACCACCTCTTTTTATGCAGCATCACTTTCTGTGCCATACTAATACACCTAACGTCTAATTTTCATAATTACACTCGGCGCGCATGCGCAGCGAAGGTACAGTAGTTGGGTCTGTCTGTTTGTCTGTTTGTCTGTTACTCTATATCTCACTCCTCGAACATCTGTTCGTCCCAGAAACGATACCATCTACCCAACGGGCGACGAAGGTCAGAAAATAACGGCGGTTTTCTCAGAAAATGCTCCGTTGCAAAGCTAGAGCGCTTCCGGCATTGTACGGCTAATGCGTAGTCGGCCATTTTTTTTATCGCTGCGGAAAATGCGCATGCGGTTATAATGCTAATTAGCACAAACTTACCTCGACCGGGCCGCTTGCTCTGTGTATCTTGAAGGCATAAGAAGTCACAACGAAGGGCGTGTATCGACTCCCGCATGCTATTTACGACTGTAGCTAGTCCGTGTCAGACTCTCCGCGAGCTACTAGCGTGGATACCACGAATAAACGCATACTAAAAGCCCAGCCCATCAATTAGTGGTACCGCGCGTGCGCAGTTCGCCGAGGGTTTGCACTTCAGTGCTTTTCATTTGCTTGAGTGAGTGTTCGTTATGAACTTAAATTCTGTTATGCCACCTCTTTTCCAATGGCAAGACACAAGAATATGTGTATGTACTTACACTGTACTATTACTTCAGGTGTGTCTGGAGTCAGAGGAGAGTGAGCAACCTGGACACTGTGGTGGAGGACCTGACCAAGGCAGTAGAGAAGGCCCCGCAGCAGCCCTACCCCATCTACTCCCTGGCCTCCTCCTTCCACCGCCTGGCCAGCATCTCCCAGAGCATGCAGCTCATACAGACTGCTCGCATCAAGTTCCAGGAGGCCCTTAGGAAGTTCCCAACCTTTGCTGACGGGCTCATCCTCTATGCTCTAGTGAGGACTCAGTATTGTACTATTTTTTCCTGTACATGTACTGTGTATGCACTGTTCATGCCCAAAAAGTAAAAGGCTAGTAAAGTGTCCAACAAGTATCAACCAGGTTCCGAAAGACCAATACCTTGGGCTATCTATATACCGGAACAGGCAGACAACTGGCAAACTGATGACATGCAAACGAGGTCCTCTTGGATATGTTTGTTGCATGCTTGCATGCTATACCCAGGCCTAAAATACATACATATACTCCAATCACAAGACTTGTCCTCTCTGTGTGTGTGTCCAGTTCCTGCAGGACACGGGAGAGTTCCAGCAGGCAGAGGAGGTGCTGAACAAGGTGGTCCAGGTGGAGCCTGACAATCCTCTTGGATACTTCTCCCTAGGGTTAGTTACCACTCCCTCTCCCTACTGTCTTCACAGGAACTTTAGCACAAGTCAGAAGGTTTCCGTGGGCAAATGTGTTGTACGTACCATGAACATGGCACACGCAGTACAAGTCCTGCCCATTGTCCCCAGTACATGTGTATACCATGTGTATACAGTGCTGAACTGCTCTGTCCTTTCACCTTATAACAATCGAATGTTGAAAATCATATATTGTGGCGTAATCTGATTGGTTGATTTGCCAGATGTGCGTACATATTATTGTGTGCTTATGTGTGTTAGCTGCTGTTATGGTCCAGTATTGCAGTTTACTCACCTTTTTGTATAGCCAGTGAAGCGAGCCCACCTGTACATACAGTATGTATGTAGTTGTTGGAGTTTGTGTACATTGTATATAATATGTCTCAGCAACTTGGTAGCGAGGTAGAAAGGCAAGGCAAACTACACCGACATTGTTGCCACCCTTACTGCAATGTCCTTTAGGATGCATGCATGAACGTAACTCAAACTTAGCAATTGTTACTCTCGCGTTCGCTTGCCAAAAAAAGTGCTTATGTGTGTTAGCTGCTGTTATGGTCCAGTATTGCAGTTTACTCACCTTTTTGTATAGCCAGTGAAGCGAGCCCACCTGTACATACAGTATGTATGTAGTTGTTGGAGTTTGTGTACATTGTATATAATATGTCTCAACAACTTGGTAGCGAGGTAGAAAGGCAAGGCAAACTACACCGACATTGTTGCCACCCTAACTGCAATGTCCTTTAGGATGCATGCATGAACGTAACTCAAACTTAGCAATTGTTACTCTCGCGTTCGCTTGCCAAAAAAAGTGCTTATGTGTGTTAGCTGCTGTTATGGTCCAGTATTGCAGTTTACTCACCTTTTTGTATAGCCAGTGAAGCGAGCCCACCTGTACATACAGTATTTATATAGTTGTTGGAGTTTGTGTACATTGTATATATGTCTCAACAACTTGGTAGCGAGGTAGAAAGGCAAGGCAAACTACACCGACATTGTTGCCACCCTTACTGCAATGTCCTTTAGGTGAATCGAAATAGTAATGCATGCATGAACATAACTCAAACTTCGCAATTGTTACTCTCGCGTTTGCTTGCCAAAAATTTTGTTCTAATTAAGATGGATGCATGAGACACATCACACCATGTGCACGCGTCCACCATGTGCATGCGTGCACATACAACACACACATAATCAGCAATAATTATACAGCAAAGCAGATCAATCAGTCCCGAATTGAGTTAATATTCAACAACGACACCAAACTCACATGCAAAGGGACACTGCTCTCATTTACCCTCGGCGCGCATGCGCAGCGAGGTTTACTGTAGTTGGGTCTGTCTGTGTGTGTCTGTGACTCTTCATCTCACTTCTCGAGTGTTCGTTCCTCTCACAAATGATACCACCTACTTAACGGGCAATGAATGTCAGATATTTCGAACGGTTTTCTCTGAAAACGCTCCGTTGCAAAGCTAGAGCGCTTCCACCATTGTAGGCTAGTGCGTAGTCGGCCATTTTATCGCTGCGGAATATGCGCATGCGCTTATTAACCTCAACCGGGTCTGCTTTCTCTGTGTATCTTGAAGGTACAAGAAGTCACAACGAAGGGCGTGTATCGACTCTCGCATGCTATCTACTACTGTAGCTAGCCCGTGTCAGACTCTCTGTGAGCTACTAGCGGGAGACCACGAGTAAAAGCATAGTAATAGAAGCCCATCAATTAGCGGTACCACGCATGTGCAGTTCGCCGAGGGTTTGCACTTTAGTGCTTTTCATTTAATGTTGTACTTTTGACCGATTAAAATACTGAGTGTTTTTTTGTACTATAGTGTTATAAATAGGATTTATTGGCGTGTTTTGTGTTTTTCCCACTGGCAGATTGCTGAACCTGGTGGTGAGGTCAGACATTGACCAAACCATGATCCACATGCAGAAGGCCATTGCAGTCGACATCTCCTGCGTCCAGGCCTACGACACCATCGCATCCATTGAGATGCAGAGGTATTTAAACCTTTGCACTCCAATAATTTACACTACATATTTGAGTGTCTGTTTGTTACTGTATACTACATTAAAAGGAATGTGTCAGTAGATAGTAGTGCTTTGCAGCCAGTCAGCTGTCACCAGTTTATGCACATGTTACTAGCATAGTTGTCACCCAGTGGAGATGCAGCTCGTGATACATATGTTTAACATAGTGTTCGTGACAGTGAATACCGGCACTCTCCTTACCAAAGAGGCTGGGTACAGTGTCCTTCCCAAAGAGCCTGGGTACAGTGTCCTTCCCAAAGAGCCTGGGTACAGTGCCCTTCCCAAACACTCTGGGTACAGTGCCCTTCCCAAAGAGCCTGGGTACAGTGCCCTTCCCAAACACTCTGGGTACAGTGCCCTTCCCAAAGACCCTGGGTACAGTGCCCTTCCCAAAGACCCTGGGTACAGTGCCCTTCCCAAAGACCCTGGGTACAGTGCCCTTCCCAAACACTCTGGGTACAGTGCCCTTCCCAAAGACCCTGGGTACAGTGTCCTTCCCAAAGAGGCTGGGTACAGTGCCCTTCCCAAAGAGCCTGGGTACAGTGCCCTTCCCAAAGAGCCTGGGTACAGTGTCCTTCCCAAAGAGCCTGGGTACAGTGTCCTTCCCAAAGAGCCTGGGTACAGTGCCCTTCCCAAAGACCCTGGGTACAGTGTCCTTCCCAAAGAGCCTGGGTACAGTGCCCTTCCCAAACACTCTGGGTACAGTGCCCTTCCCAAAGACCCTGGGTACAGTGTCCTTCCCAAACACCTGGGTACAGTGCCCTTCCCAAAGACCCTGGGTACAGTGTCCTTCCCAAAGAGCCTGGGTACAGTGCCCTTCCCAAAGACCCTGGGTACAGTGTCCTTCCCAAAGAGCCTGGGTACAGTGCCCTTCCCAAAGACCCTGGGTACAGTGTCCTTCCCAAAGACCCTGGGTACAGTGTCCTTCCCAAAGAGCCTGGGTACAGTGTCCTTCCCAAAGACCCTGGGTACAGTGTCAGTGTCCTTCCCAAAGAGGCCTGGGTACAGTGTCCTTCCCAAAGACCCTGGGTACAGTGTCCTTCCCAAAGACCCTGGGTACAGTGTCCTTCCCAAAGACCCTGGGTACAGTGTCCTTCCCAAAGAGCCTGGGTACAGTGCCCTTCCCAAACACTCTGGGTACAGTGCCCTTCCCAAACACTCTGGGTACAGTGCCCTTCCCAAAGAGGCTGGGTACAATGTCCTTCCCAAAGAGCCTGGGTACAGTGTCCTTCCCAAAGAGCCTGGGTACAGTGTCCTTCCCAAAGACCCTGGGTACAGTGTCCTTCCCAAAGAGCCTGGGTACAGTGTCCTTCCCAAAGAGCCTGGGTACAGTGTCCTTCCCAAAGAGCCTGGGTACAGTGCCCTTCCCAAAGAGCCTGGTACAGTGCCCTTCCCAAAGAGCCTGGGTACAGTGCAGGGGCGGATCCAGGGAGGGGGTTGAGGGGGTTGCAACCCCCTGTTTCGTAAAGCAAGGATGCCAAGAAGCGGACCACTGTTATATACTGACCTGAAAATCACGTTGTCACCCCAGATGATTGTGTAGGTTTAGCGCACCACCACAGGGCAAGCAGCGCCCCAAAAGTTCACGCACTATTACTCTGTAACATCCGAAATAAAGAAGCATCCGAGTAGCTACGTACGTGCGTATAAACGCTAACCGCGCCCTCTCTCTGAGGCCCTACCTGCGCATACGCAAGTATTTTTTTTATTTACAACCCCCAGTTATCATAATATGCTGGATCCACCTCTGCAGTGTTAGACCAATCTAAGCAAATGTAATGGCTAGTGTTTGCACTTTAGTATTGTCATTTGCTGGGTAAAGACGTTTCTCTGTTCGTTTGTTGTTCCCTAGAGGACACACTGCCAGAGCCATGGAGCTGTATGAGAAGGCAGTGCGCTACTCTCGTAACCAGGTGGAGATGACGCAGGCCTACGTGGCCCAGAAAGTGTTCTCCATGCAGGACAGAGTGTGCAAGGAGTACGGAGTGTCCATCCAGCAGCTAGCAGCGCGCTCAGCTGCTTCAATGACACCCCCCGGGGCACCAAACATGTAGCCGAATAATTTATGTGTGCGTGTATGCTCACGTGTAGCCGTTATATAATGCAGAATACCAGTCTGTTCCCTTAGTATTGTACATGTTGTATACTTGTTGTTATGTGAGCAAACAAGCAATAACCCTAGCTAGCTAGCTGTCATAGGCCATCTCTGCGCATGCGCAGCGAGGGTTGTGTTTTCTGGCACTACAGGCTATTGGGCCGGATCAACGGCTTCAGAGCTACGAGGACGTGAAGAAGTTTTCCTGAAACGACTGCGTTCGAGAGAAGCACTACAGTGCAAACCCTAGGCGAACTGCGCATGCGCGTTACTGCTAATTGAAGGGCTGGGCTATTTCGTGGTGGCCTCCCGCTAGTACGTTATTATATAGCTCGCGGAGAGTCTGACACGGGCTAGTGACAGTAGTAGATAGCACGCGGGAGTCGATACACGCCCTTCGTTGTGACTTCTTGTGCCTTCAAGGTACACAGAGCATGCGGGCCCGGTCGAATTAGCATCATAACCGCATGCGCATTTTCCGCAGCGATAAAGCTGAAAGCGCTCTAGCTTTGCAACGGAGCATTTTTAGAGAAAACCGCACAAAATTTCTCAACCTTCATTGCCCGTTGAGTAGGTCGTATCGTTTGTGATACGAACAAACACTGATGTAGGCACACACACAGACCCAACTACATAAACCCTCGCTGCGCATGCGCGCCGAGGGTTAATTATTCGCCCTCGGAAAGACCCCAGCAATGGCGTACTTGATGAGTGTTTGTTCCTATGGACCTAGTCTTGCTCCAAACGATACAAGTAGTCACTGAGCGTGGCGTGTAGGGTGCGGAAATTATGCCGGGCATAATTTGGGGGCTGCTCGAATCCGAGAATATTCGAGGAATTATTTCTATACTAGGAAGGCCGCACGCGCAAATTTTGCCTCGCTAGTGTGTCCGATTGAGGCCGCATCGTTTTGACATTCATCTGCGTCTGAAAAGAGAAGAGATATCAGCCCCACTGTGATTGAAGAGTATCATAAGGACAGAAACCTTTGCATTCAGTTCCGTCTTGAGTCGGCATATAGCCAAAGTCACAGTCGCAATAGCATCCTCCCATTGTGTCGACACACTTCCCATTGGGGCAAAGTGCCCCCTCTTCATCTTCCTCACACTCATTGGTATCTATATAATGTGAGATGAAGGCTCATGAAGATTAAAGAATATCATAAGGACAGAAACCTTTGCATTCAATTCCGTCTTGAGTCGGCATGTAGCCAAAGTCACAGTCGCAATAGTATCCTCCCATTGTGTCGACACACTTCCCATTGGGGCAAAGTGCCCCTCCTCATCATCCTCACACTCATTGAAGTCTGTATACTGTGAGATGAATGCTCATGAAGAAAGGTATAATATATAATTATAACATCTTTCCTGCACGCTTATGTGAATAATCATGAACTGCACTAATACTACTGTCATAAATCGACATACACTTCTAGCACTATTGCTACTGTATATTAACAATTTACCAACTACATTTTAAAACCCAATAACTAATGGAGGATCTGGACCCTTTCTCTCAAAAAGGTAGTCCTTCTTTGCAGTGTATTTTTGTCAAGACTCCAGAGAGAGAGAGAGACACCTACTTTCGCAGTCATTTGAATCGGGAATGGGTGTGTATCCAGGTATGCAGATGCACATGCTGTCTGGAACTGACTCTCCGTTTATGCACTCAGTGTTGGTACCACACATCTTCACACAACATGGTGGGAAAGCTGCATAAATCAATTTAGCACACATTATTATGCACAATCTATAAAGCACTATAATATACCAGTGTCTCACTGCCCTCACAACGTAGGGTTAGGACTCAGTCCTTCACTTTTGGTTTAGGTCTTAACATTTTATTTGCACACAAGGGATATGAAAATTGGCAAAAAATATCAGAGCGTCGGTAGACGCTCTATATAGGGATGACACGAGTGAAATCTCACGTGATCCGCGTACAAAACGCCTCAAAACTCAGCGACAATGACTCACCATGGCTTCAAAATCACTAGCAATAGTCTATAGGCCAATACCTAGCTATACATATGCCCCAAGACTTCCTACGTGCCCTCAGTTCCCCACGAGAGAATTCGCACTTACGCGATTTCACGATTTTCGTGTCGTCATCATCTCATCCCTTACCGGAAGCAGTTGAAGCGTTGATTTTTTCACAGAACGTCTCCAAATTTGCCGGAGGTGTGCACGCATATCAAGCGATCGCTTGTTTCTTGCCGAAAGCCACTACGGTAGATCGTTGAGCTATTCCACGGTAGTCACTGGACAACGCCATTTGCTACTAACTCAGCATCAGTGAGCCGCATGCGCCGAGGAGGGCGTTTCCCCAATGCGGTGCGCGCGCATTACTATAGTCTCGTGCGTGAACCAGGTTCTACGAGACTAAGCCAGGATGCCTGCAGAGGAACTCCAGTGCCTTCTGTAAGTCAGTATACACATTTTTAACTGGCTAGCTTACGTTTTGCTGTTCATTTGTACGAGGAGTAACTTGGCAGTGTGCGCCGTGTTACGCGGGCCTTGCCCAGCGCCTTCATTGTTTGCCCCCCAGGTTATATATATAGCTATCATTGTAGTCTGATTACTGAAGCCTGCCTACGAAACCACCCCACCATAATATGTGCCGCAACCTAATTGCATCGTTGTTGGAGACACTACGCATACACCCTGCTTCAGGTACATTAGCTTCTGCTTTCAACAGTATCTCTACAACACCCATGAACATCAGAGTGACTGAAAATGCAGAAGGCATGAAAAATAGTGGAAACAAGTGGAAAAATCATTTCTTCAAAATGAAGGGGGATATAGGGATGGCTTGAAGCACCAAAAAGGAAGAAACGAGGGGTCATTACACAGCAAAGATGCACCAAGCTACATGACACCATCCCTATTCTTTGTTTTATATTAGTAAGCAAGTAATATGAGACAAAGATATAGGGATGGTGTCATGTAGCTTGGTGCATCTTTGCTGTGTAATGACCCCTTGTTTCTTCCTTTTTGGTGCTTCAAGCCATCCCTATATCCCCTTCATTTTGAAGAAATGATTTTTCCACTTGTATAACATGATTTGCTCCTTGTTTATTGTTGCATGACTTCTAACCATTGCCAAGTAGTTGCATTCCCAATAGCCCATTGCCAATCAGATGCATTAACTTTTGCGCACCATTTTAACTATAATTATGTAATGTTGTATAATATATTATATAATACGATGGGCACTTACATAGACAAACAACCACAACAACTTTCACGCCAGTTAGTGTGACTATGCTTCTATTCTGCAGAACAATTAAACGTGAGGTTAATTCCTACCAAGTTGACAGAAGGCTGCAGCTCTATTACAGGTTGTATCAGTTCCGTCACTTAGCTGACACGCCATAACCTGCTCGTCGGTACCCTCGCAAAATATCTGATCATATGCTGGGAGGGTATTATCCGATCCGAAGGTAATATCAACGACACTTGCTGCATAGAGATTATTACAACACTCAATGACTTATCAAACACTGCAGTGACATACGTGGGTCAGGGCTGTCTTCATCTGGGAGACCTAATTGCCGGCAAACAACTTGGGCTAGTCCGGGACTTGGTGAACATACATTGCTCCAGTCACCGTCCTTGCACACTTCGCCAACACCATAGTAGTAACTGCCACCAACCAACCTAACCTCTCCATCCGTGCATGACTGTGCATTTACTAATGACAGTGTCAAGCACAGAAGCAACTCCACCACCATGGTTAGCTTATTTAGCACTCTGAATTGTACCAATCTTATCACGTTTAAATAGCTACGGAGAACACACAAATTATTATAGCCATAAGTTGATCTCATTCAAATGAACTCCCTGCAGCCAAGTTCGCACATAAAATGGATAATTGATTCAAAATGCAATCTCTCCAGCCAAGATCCCATCGTTTATGTTATTCAATGGATGGTAGTCCCACCATCATTCACCACCTTATATAGGATTCATTGAATCTTACGATATGTGAGTATTCGATGTAGTATTATATATAAACCCATTCAAATGCATTCCCAATAGCCAAGACCCCACAGTAAGTGTATTCAACCAAAATCATCAATGGACATGGAATGTGTATATAGCTACTTACAGTAGCTACTAATAAGAGAACAACACTTAAGATAAAAGCACTAAAGTGCAAACCCTGCGCGAGAGACACGCGTGCTCGTTAAAGAAGGGTTCATTCAGCAAAGTTGAGGACCTACACAGCCTTCTGTGAAAGGCTGCAGACGAGGTAAGCATGGCTACAAGTGAGGCACAGCTTTCGCTGTGAATTTGCATTTTGCCATGTTTTTTAGCCCACCACTCGGCTTGGTAACGTGTCTCCGAGCAGAATGTATCGCATATGTGAGCACGGTACTTATTAGGCTGCGGAGCGGATTTTACGGAATATCTGCGCGCATGCCCTGAACAAATGTGCGCCAGGCACGAAACGCGCGCGCCAGGCGCGTGGTCTCTCCGACCAGGTCGCTGTGTGAGAGTCGGCTTAATCAGGCTAGTTCGCTACTCTACTAGATAGTC